CTAATGGTTCTCTAATGTGTGTTTTCTGTATCTGGGAAGACATTCTGAACCACAAGACAGGTGATCAAAAGACAGTTCCCCTAACAGAGTTTCAGTCTGAGGTGCTTAAGTTACTGTTGTGAGGTAAATTAAAACCTCTCATGATTCTTGTTTACATACAGTATATAGTATGTACCCAGTTCCCAAATCTAAACTTTGCATTATAATTGAGATCTGCATTTGATGTTCTCTAGCTAACAATGAACACTAGATCATAGGGAAAGTCTGGTGTTATGAAGTTTTCCATAATAAAATATCAATGCAATATTAAATTCAAAATTTAAGAAAAGTACTCAAGGGGGTTCAGAGGTTCTTTAATGTTTTGGCAGCAGTAACAGGCTGGAGTCTGCTGATAGACATTTACTTCCATAAACAATATAAATGATAAATGATATACTGTAAATGGTGTAGCGTTATAATTATAACTAGTTATAATTTTTCATCACAGTTATCCAAGAACAAAGACAACAAATACCATCTAATACTACAGATTATAAAAACATATCTCAGGAATTATGTTAAAAAAGACTGTGACACACTCTAAAATATCCTCATATACAACTTACACATTAAATAGCCTAAGGACTGCGTTATCGTCAAATGATTAGGGACATTTATGAATCAGATCCTTAATTCAAAGTAACTTTCTAGATAATTGTTTAAATTCCATTGCCAGGCATTTTTTGTTTGTGCTCCAAACCCTCTTTTCAAATCATTATTCTGTAGCTGAATTCTTTAAAAGCTCCGAAATCATCTTTGAAGATTTCATGTAGACTGAAACAATAGTCAGCCGTACCGCTGACAACAGGGATGAATGGTCTGACAACTGCGATAGTGGGGCTGTAATGTAAACTGTACGGGGAGTGCAAGGAGTGTAGCACTGGAGAAGGAAGCCAGATCTCAAGACGCGCTGTCTCATCTGATGGCTTTGTTTTGCTGTCAAGCATATCCTGTCATGCTGGAGCAAGTAATCAGAGTTTGGCTGCGCTTCCAGTGGCACAGCGAGAGATAAGTAACGGAAACCACCCACCGGGGATTAGTAGAGGCTCTGTTTGAATATCAAGTGAGCTATTCTGGGACTGCAGGCCAAAAAAAAATTACAACATGTGAAAAGAAACAAACTATCTCCTACCTGAAATTAAAGAGCACTGAAGGCACAGGTTCAACCAAGAGGTTGAACCCATTGATTTGTTGGGTTTTCAGGGCCATCCAACCATAAATGAAGCGTAATACTATGTGGGGTTCTGAACAACATAATTAAAGCCTTTGTTCACTGAAGTTGTTAACATGTCCTTATTTAGCACTGCTACTTCGGTATGCTAAAAGCCTACTACTGTCTGGGGGGGAAATCTCACTGCAACCTTTTTTTTCAGTTTTCAAAATCTTACTCCTCTGAAACAGGAGGTAAAAGAATGTTCTCATGTTTTGTTCTTCTACTATGGGTCTCTACTTTAAAGATGAGCATTTTGTACCCTATCGCCTCTCTGCCTGTGTCATAGAGCACAGAGAATGGGTGTGATTGACCCAGGAGCCAAAGGCTGTGTGACTTTAAGTTGCATTGATGGGCCAGTGACACCCTAGTCTTGATGTACTGTAGTTTCATGTCTTATCCTCTGTGTTTCCTGCCCCGATCAAAGGCCTGTTGTTCTGGACAGCCAGGATTGGCGAACAAGCCTAAGAACCACCAAAGGAACAACACAGAGGGCTGAACTGCTGGACTGTAGTATTTTGGGATATTTCTTGGGTAACCGTAGCCCAATGGGGTACTTGTACTGGTCTGGAATGCATGTTCCTTGATTTTTGCAATAATGTGCTCTGGGTGTTGAGTAGACAGTGTTAAATATTAGAAAATATTAAGGGCACTTAAATATACTAGTGTCTGTTGCTTGTCTGTGGGTGCACCGGTGATTCTGGCAGATGAATGGAACCTGTGGCAAGGGAAGAAGGGTCTTCTACAGAGCAAGAGAAAGCACCTGATTTTAGGGGTTGCAATCTGTGACTCCCAAATCATATAAATAACCCATTTTTTATTTTTATCTGTGCAAGGTAATGTCATAACGCAGCCAGTCGAAAACATGGATTGCTGACTGGGGTTGCAACTGAGTCTGTGATTTGGTCTCTTTGATTGAAGCACAGCAACCACAGAAAGTAGAGTTAAAGACAGACGTCAAACATTTTAAAATAGGTTAAATTGTTTGCCATTGTTTAAGTTTGTTATATTATTGCATTTGGAATACAGACCGGCAGAATATTACGCTACACATTGTGACTACATTGGAGAAGCAATAGGAAATATAGAAGGCCAAAGCTACAGAGAGTGGTAAGGCAAGAAAAGTTTGAAGGACCTTAAGTGGCCAAGTTAAAGTCCTGACTTGAATCTGATAGAAAATCTCTGACAACACTTGAAAATTGCTGTCCATCAACAATCCCCAGTTATCTTGACAAAGTCAGTAAGTCTGCAAAGAATGGTTTATTCTTTGATTTAACTTCAGTCTTCTTTCACCCTCAATAGCGGAAAGTGGAATATCAGATTAAATACATTAACTTTTTAAAGAAAAATGTACACTGCAGGAACATAGTGTAACGCTTACGGCCGACAGGTACTGTGTAAGAGCCGGCTTACCAGAGCAGGTGACATCACCACCCTTCCCAGTAATAGCAGGACCACAGCCACTGAGATGTAAAGAGATCCCTCTTTGGCTCACCGGGCTGGGTCCCTGCTAAGCGACGCGGGAGTACCGGGTTCGACCCCCCAATGGTGCGGGGCCAACCTACTGCGGGAAGGGCGCCCGCCTGAGCCCCGGTTGCGTTACAATATTGTGAAATCTTTATGAAAGGCAAGGTATATATTAAATAGATTTTGTACATATCAAAAGTATATATTAAATGTCCATGTGTACGATCATTAAAAATCATGCATCTCATAAACTAAGATAAAACGGAATTCACTCTCTTAAAAAATAAAATCTAAGATACGCGGTGATATTCACGTGGTTACCGTGCAGTTTGTAATTTTGTAATGCTTTTTTCCATTGAAAAAAAGTTTGAACTAGCACCCTTTCGATCCTCTCATTTTCCACGCTTGGTGTCGCTCTGCTGGACAATTCCTGTTCATATCCCTGTCCGCCTCTCAGAGAGGTATAAAGGCCGTCAGGACTATGGCAGGACTGACCCCTCCTGCGCAACTTGCAAGTGTATTGTGAAGTCCTGGCGCCGTGCACACTTCGCTCCAGTTGAACAGAGAAGTATGGAAACAGAGAAGATTGTAAAGAAAAGGTCATGGAGGAAGGCGGTGTTCTGTTTCTATCCTTAGAGTAGCACTTATCTCCTGGCAGCTGTTCTGCTCCCACAGCGTGATGAATGACGACAGCATTCTTCGATTTAGCAAGATTGGGATCGCTTGGAACTCAAGTTTTATGGAGCAAAGTAAAACTCCATAATTATTGAAACACAGCTTCATGAAGAAATCATTGAAAAAACGTTTAAAGTGTAATGCATTACTCTAAAATCAATATTTATTTGTTCCGGCTATAAAATGCATTAAACCAACCAAAAAAATTTTTTACCACCTTCATCATTTAAGACTAAGTTTTCTATTTTCTATTGGTTCTTGAACTAATGAATTTGCAGATTTCCTGTTTACAGGGAAACAAAATAATTACCAAAAAGGACATTTTGACCTCTAGGTCCTTGCCTAAAAACATGCACCTGATCATAAAAAATTATGTTTTCACACTTACCTGCATGATCTATTTGTTTGAAGTATTTGTCTGTATGAAGCTGTAAGATAATGAATTGAACATAGGCATATGATAAATTAGAAAATTAAATTTCAAAGTAAGACTTTACATATAATGTTCTCTCTTGAGCGAACAAGAAAACACCTTAGCAACATTTAACCTTGTTATTATTGTGTACTCCTTGGACATGTTAAACAATCCTGTTCTGCTTGAAGGTCTCAAGCAAAATGATTAGGTGGCTAAGTAGCAACACCTTTTCACACAAATCACACATTGTGGATTTAATCACCCATTGATAAATGGTTTTAAAGCAGTACACATTTTAAGCATGCTCTCCCGTCTGCTGTACAGTTGACAGTCGGCTCTTTAGAACGATATTTCAGCTTTATAGTCTGTTAATGATCCCCCTTGGTGCAAGAACCAAACTATGCTGTTCTCAGGCGTCTTTGCATCATGTCCTGTAAAACAAATACTATTAAGGAGGTATGGAGTAGCTATTATGTACGTCATTACTCAAGTAAATCATGTTGAGAAGCTGAGCCTCATACAATGAAGTGAATTACCTCAGAAAATGGAGCGTAATGGAGTAAATGTACTCAGAAAAAATGCTACACCAGTTATGGAATGGATAATGTTCCCTGTCTAACGTTCCAATATTGGGTTTCCAGGTACCAGTGAGAGCTGCTTCAGCCTTCCCTCAAGCTTTGCTGTATGTGTTGTGGGCTCTGTTAGGGGAACACATGACAGAGAGGCAAGACAATGGACTTTTCATGAGATATAGTTATGCCATCTTCACCTGCATTTGTCCAAGTTAAGAACAGAGTTCCCCCCCAAAATGATCCTAAGATCCTATTAAGACTCTTTATTGTCTTGCAAAACTTTGAGTGAACTTTTTGTGAAATCATTTCTAAAGGCAAATTCAACAAAAAGCTGGCTTTCAAAATGTATGTGATGTTCACTTATTTACAATGAGATCGAAAGCAATGTTATTCAAAGCCTTCCTATCGTTTTTCCATTACATTGTTTTATCAGTTGCTCTTCTTTTTACAGCAAAAAATTGTGAAAAGAGTGCTTTGTGTGCATTGGAGAATACTGTGAAAACATAAGGGCGTGCTAGAAAGCCTAACACAGTAGCCCGGGAAGCCTCCCTTAATGTGGAACTGCTGCTGGTAAAGAACAAGACCTGCTTTTATTAATGTGTCATTTATTTAAATCTAAAAGTGACCCTCATTAACTCCACAGATAGAATGTCTGACAGACTTAACACTTCAGAAACCCAATGAACCATTAACCATTCAACCTGATCATTATAGTAGGTAGCTGCGTGACCATGCGTAGGCTGCAAAGGAACAAGTAAAGGTTTATTCCATGCTGAAAAAAGAAGAAAAGAAACGTTTCCTGAGAGAGAAAAAAACAGCCCATTCAACCAACACACAGTCCGCCCAGACTACCCAAAGGCTCCCTTCCTCACAACTCACCTATTGGTGGGTCTACCTTACAACACCAAACTTACAAAAACATTACCCCAGTCACCAGATAGCTCAGTGGTGCCAGTATCCATTGCAGATACTGTAAAAAGTAGTTAAAAAAAACTTTAATAGGCATTAACCTGTCTGGAGCAATCCGGTATTTAGACTGCAATTATGCAAAACCTTCAAGGAATTGCAGAAAATTTGAGACTGGAGTGGTTCAGCCACTCAGGAGGGCGGGCATCCTGACAAATCAAAAATGCTTTTTCACAAGCTCATTAAGGGATGTGTAATGTCACAATTGCAAAGGGTTTATTGGTTACGCAGTCTTAAATTTAATTCCCTTCACTGAATGGGTCAGAACTGTTTTACTTAGAAAACACTTAAAATGATAAAATGTGCTTCTTAAAAGTATATGTTCTCTTCCGGGATCTAGTGGTTTTCCAGTTCATGCATATAGTTTGAAGAGCTAAAAACCACCTGGATTGCTGATGGAAAGTGTACTGTTGTATATATAGGGGAATAGCTTTAATCTGATTTAGGATTTTTAAAAAGGAACAATAATTTTTTTTTAAATGATCATTTCCCAGTAGACTTTCACTTCGATGTGAAAAGAGGATTGGTAATGCAGTCTTATAAAATTAAAGGATCCTTTCCACATACTGAGAAAAGGCACCAAGGGGCACACAGCACCGGAGACATGGCTAACTACCTTTTCGCTCATTAGAACACCTACAAAATGATACGACTGTTTATCTAGGCCAATGATATTCATATCCACTCCTGGGAGGTAGCAGGCCACCAGCCTTTATAGGTAACTTATAATCCTCAATGAGTAAAGACCTGGAAACCATGGTAATAGAGACCAGTTACATGACCCACTGATTCAAATAAAATCATTAAGAGTCCAGGGTGGAATACAAAACAGAAAACATAGAGGATATCCAAGATCAGGATCAAGATTATAGTGAATATCAGTGGTCTAGGCTTTTCAAATAAGCAAAACTCTAGGGGATAAGAGAAGGAGACAATTAATGCAATGTGGTTCTAACACAGGTTTAGAATTTCAGCAAAGCAGATTACAAAGCAGTGGGTGAATTCAAGAGAAGTAGAAATGGGACAGATCAGTAGAAAATGGATGGCAACATAGTAAAAATATTTTGCATGAAACACAGAAAAGTTTCATCCAAAGAATAAGGAAATTGCAAGTATAGCCCAATTCGTTTAATAAGAAAAAATAAGGGAAAGAAAGCATGTAAAGGAACACTCTGCTCTGATAGGCTAAAGAAATTAATATCTGTGGTCTTTGAACACTGAACACTACAGGAAAGGAGACCTTATTCAAGTCCCAACAATTCTCAAAGAGTTTGACAAAGTCAACCCTGTGGACTTTTTCAGAATGCACTTGTCTCCTCGATTTCTGTACTTCTGCTTCACTGTGGAAACTACAGGGAGGAGCCCTCAGAGGCCAAGCAGATAACCTAAATTAAAAAAAATCACAAGGAAGATGATATATTGGATAAAAGTAAATGTAAAAGTAACTATTTCTAGAGGGTTAAGATTTGAATATCTGAATACTGCATCTTAACCAAATTTGAGAAGTAAGACGTGAAACAAACCATAAAACCAAAAGAACACTAATGAAACCACAACTAAATCAAGAAAGCAGTCCAAGTCAAAGTATATTCACACAAATTGAGCTTATACAAAAGGGATCTTCACAAAGGTACACTGCAATCCAATGCAAAATTAACTTTTACACAATTTAAAATAGGAACAATACAAATTACATCTCCAAGTTCCCCAGATACCAGAATATTTTTTTTTAAATTCAGTGAAAGGTCACTAAAAACAATAAATGGAAAAAAAAACGAAGTCTTCAGGTAATTTAATATCCAAGAAATGGGCAGATGAGGGTTTTGAAAAGAAAAAAGAATTAAGTGACTGAGCAGCAATGTTTTTCAATAACCTCACCTGTTTATGCTGCTGTAAACCTGCCTTCTGGCATGTTGTGTATGGAGCATGACATTTCCATCAAATTCTATTTCAAAATCATTATATTAGTGTGACTACTGAAGCAGATGCTCAAGCCAGAAATGTCAGTTTGTCCTGGCACAACAAGGGGCAGGTTATAGTTCTCAACTCAAAAAATGACTCACGACCAATTAGAAAATGGCAGCTACTATTCAATCCATTGAGCTCTAGTGCTCTCTAGAGGACAAAAAGCTCACTTTAACATCAGGCACAACAGCGTCTGGCTAGCCAGGCGTATTATTGAGATTTACCAAGTGAGCAGAACGCAAAAGAAAGCTACAACTTTCTTGACGCCTCACCTTGAAATTCACTCTAAACAAAATAAACACAGGAGAAGTTCTCTAAATTAAGGACTTAAATATTTCCAAAACAATTCATCCTCCTGTGTCCAGACAAATAGGTAGTCAATAATAAATTCTTATTTCTCCCCAAAATGGCTTAAATGTAGAAAGAGAATTATCTCAACAACATTCTAAAGTTATGTATAATGAACAGAAATAACCTTTTCCCCCGGTGCTTTTTTTTCCCCACCCTGAAAGGTCCAACATTTGTTTCTCTTAAGGACAATAGCTGTCTTTGGCCAAAGTCATTTCTAGCTAAAGAACTCTGTGAGAAAGAAGATTAACAAAGTAAAATCTATTTGACACAATTTAAAAAATGGTTTAAAATACAGAACAAACAAACAGGGTTAAAAACATACAGCAGCCTGAATTACCTGAATGGGAAAGCAGAAATCACTGTTTGGGATACTGATGTTTAGAACAGGCCGTCTCAGCAAGAAGTCTTAAAACATATTTTGTTAAAAAAAAACGTAGAAATTAGCATGTGCAAGTTTGCGTTATCCATGGATACAAAAATATGGACAGAAAAAAACAAAACGCTTAGAAACTAATTCCACAAGAAGTGAAACAGCCTGTGAACATCCATGCAGTGTTAGGAAGCTACATGGTGATGAAACCTTGAAGGCAGGCCGTAAAGCTGACAACTGTTACTTCCACATGAGCGTCTTGAACTTTGCTCGCTGGAGTGCCTGGAGCCGAGAGCTCAACATGAGCACCTATGATCAGCACCAGGTAAAAAACAGCCTTTTCAGGCTCGAGTCCAGCCACACTGAGCAGCTATGAAATAAATACTACTTTTCAGAGTCCGTGTTAGAACTGCATTGACCAGCTGGCCTCCCACGATGTTACCCAGCCCTTGCTGGCTTATTCCGGTGTTCTCTTCTGGAAATAGAAAGAGATCTTCTTCATGGAACAAGGTGTGGAGAAGGTCTGAAAGGAAGAGTAGTAGAAGAGGGTTAATCTAACAGTCTGTTTCAGGGAATGTTTTACATAGATTCCCACAGCCTTTTTTTCCCTTCTTCCTAAAATATGTTTTTCCCTTTATTGTCAACACCAGCTTACAAAATTCCAAAACTCTGTAATCTTTATATTGTTTCCCCTAGGTTTTTTTGGTGTATAAGATAAAACCAAAAACAGCCAAATAAAAGCACCAAAATCAGCACTACAATCGTTCAATGCACACGGACTGGAATAAGAAAACCCAGGAACAGTATTTGGTAGCCTGACACTTAATGGAAGACTGGAAATCCGACCCCCCCGATCTGCTTACAGCCTTGAAAATAGAGTATCTGCCTACCAGCAAGGCTCCTGTTCGGCTCTCTTGCCTCTTGGTGGCACTAGGGCTTCTGGAGGGAGAGGGGCTACGCAGCCCTCCGTTCAGCCTCTGCCCAATGGCGGACAGCCAGTCGGCAGGTCTGGGAGAGCTGTTTTCCTTGTCTGGGTGCTTGGATTTGAAGGAGCAGTGTTCCCCAGGTTGGCGAGCGTCCAGCTCCTGAGTGCCGGCCTTGTCCGTGTCCTGGGCTGGAAAGCAGACTACGCCCAGCCCCCGACTCCTCTTGGCTGCTGGGTAAAGCTCGGTAACGCAGCCACAGTCCCCGGCGCAGCCCTGAACCCCCTCTGCGCTAGTCTCCAGCCGGCGCTTCACTCTCCTCTCGGAGGTGGGAGCGGAGCTCTGTCCGCAGGGGCTGAGCACCTTCCTTGGGGAGGGGGAGCCCTGGGCCACTGGCCTGGGCGAGTCAGGAGTTCTGGTCATCCACTGCCTGATGGAGGTGCAAGAAGCAGCTGCCTGCCGAGGGGTGCCAGGGTGGTGGCTTTTACTCCCTGGGGTTTGGAGGGACAAGGCTGGGGTGCTGGAGGGCAAGGGGAGGTCCCCCCCACTAGGGGCACAGGCTGCAGCCTGAGGGGACGCCAAGGGTCCCAGACTGTCCAACCTGGAGGTCTTCGTGGGGGTGCTCTCTGCTGGGGATACCGGACCTGAGGAGATAAAACATGCAAAGAACTTAAGACATGCTATTTGCTAACTGAAAAGTTGCTTTGAAGAAAAAGACAAAACTAAAGCAGTACAGTTACAGAAGATAACATGCAAAACGGTTAAACAGGATTAATGATTAATGTTGCTTGGCAAACTACTTTAGCTTTTGAGAAGATAAAACATGGAACGCTTCATAATCCACTGGCTATGTGCCACATTTACGGGGTCTGTAAAACTTAAAAGGAGCTGCAAAAGTCCTGTTTTAGCCATTAAGATTGTCAGGGAGAGCCCTGGTCAAGGTACATTGTCCCCATTATCCTACTGATAAGCCCAAAGAGGACTGAAAACTTCCAAAGACAAGTGCTCTTTGGCAAAAGGTCCAGACTGCCTGAGAAAGTGTAAATACACTTCCTCCAGCACATCTAAGACAGGGGGAGGAGCAATTTCTGCTTTTGTTTTGTCAGTAGCTATATAACTGAAACTCACAACTGTCAACCCACTGAAGCTCAGCAGGTTTGAGCCTGGTCAGTACCTGGACGGGAGACTCCTGGGAAAGCTTAGGTTGCTGCTGGAAAAGGTGTTAGTGGGATCAGCAGGGGGCCGTCGACCTGCAGTCTGTGTGGGTCCTAATGCCCCCAATATAGTGAGGGGGAGACTACACTGTAAAAAGGTACCGTAAAACTAAGGTTCTGACAAAATCCCAGGGCATTTCTATAAAAGAGTAGGGATGTTACCCTGGTGTTTTGGTCAAATTTCCCTTTACTAGTCATGGCCTCCTAATAATCCCCATCTATGAACTGGTGTCATCACTCTGTTCTCCTCCCCATTGATAACTGATGTGTGGTGAGCGGACTGGCACACTCTGGCTGCCGTTGCATCAGCCAGGAGGGGCTACATATTGGTGGTGGTGGAGGGGAGTCCCCATTACCTGTAAAGCACTTTGAGTGAAGTGCCCAGAAAAGTGCTAGAAGTGTAAGGAATAATCTACTCCTAGAGGCATGCCTGCGACATTACAACAGCTTTCAGAAATTGCTGTTTCTTTGCAGACCTCTTGGCAAGAGGAAGAGGCCTCAATAGTCCCGTTTGGTTTGGCAAAGAGTTACCGGGGTTATTTAATTGCAGTCGCACAGGAAGAGGTGTGCAACAGTACTAGCAGGCTTCTTTACCCGAGCTCTTTGTCGCAGAGGGAGGTTTTGGACAGGCCCAGCCGACCAGGTTTCCTGTGCCGATCGAGAACCTGTCCCCTTCGGACCCCCTGTTCAGGCGCCAGATGCGCACCGTGTTGTCATCCGAACAAGAGGCGATCTGTCAAGAGGATTCAAGAGATTACACAGAGCCGTCCAGGCTTCCTCAGGGAGTTTTTCCACTAGCTTGGTCGAACCCTAGCTTTTTTTATTGCCTGCAGAAGAATGAATCTTGTAAATCATAAAAAGTTGGGCTCTTCCAAGTTTTAACTGGCACGCACCTTTAACTTCAACAGGACAGAGTGCAATAAATAGACTGTACTGGAGAATCACAGCCTTCACCTGTAACATACCCCATACTTTCAGATTTTTTTCCAAATTAACATGTTAAAAATCAGGTCAGTTTTTAATAGGACAAAAACAAAAGAAGTGATAGAATATTGTGCTATAATGTAGAGAATTTAAACTGTTTCAAACACCTCTTTGCTAAGGAAAGCATTTTAGGAATAAGATTAAATAAGACCTCTTGGCGTGTTAAACACCAGGTCTGCTGTAAACTGACCTGTTTTCCCACAGAAAAAGAAGCCTAAAAGAGCCTAAAATTGTCTCTTAAAACCATATGTAATTACCCATTTATTACAATCCTTACAATTACAAAATATCTTATCTCCTGTGTTCATAAATCCACACAAACAAATACTAAGAAACAGAAACCCTGAATTTAATTAAAAAGGATCCAAAGGCATTCCTTCTGAAGGCGGGGACCCTCTCCATCCGCTACTGTAGTGCAATAGCCCCAACCACAGCACATTAATGGTAAAGTGAGAAATTATTGGTTAAGGAGAGAATATAAGTAGGCGAGAACGTGCAAGACCAGTTTGAGCTTTGATAAAAGTAATAAATTAAACCCACCTTTGTGAAATCTGTAGGGCACCATGCAACTGATGTGACCTCTTGGGAGTGTCCCTGAAGCATCATGGGAGGGGAAGTAGGGTCAGAAATCTACACAGGAACCAAAAAAAGGTCACAACATACTCCTCAACAGTATGCAGAGGTAGTTACTGCAGTGCCATGGCAACTAGCAGTCTCCTGTTTCTACCTCCCTATCTCAAATAATACTCTGCCTGCTTCGTCACAGGCAATCAAAACAAACGGGTGAAATGGTCAACATCAAGCATCTGGTAGCTCTGGGAACACAGAGCAAACAGCAAGCCAAGGTTACAAGTCCAGAAATTTAATTTACATGTGCTGCTTTTTGCTTCTGCAATACATCTTTAGCTCATGCCCCCTTTACTAAAGTAAGCTTTTTTACATTCCTGAAAATGTCCCTGCACGTCTACTAATTTGATTAAATCAGTAAGTGGGAATAAGTAGAATTTGAAAAATAAGCGGTTACATTCTTTAGAAATGGATACACACACCACTAGTTTAGAAATCTCCCTTTTGAAAAGCAGAGAAATTGCTGGTCTCAAAACACCTGTTTCAGTGGTATTGTTCTACCACATTTGTATAAAACCGGTTATCAAACTTTCTGCATTTTTTCCTAAACTCTAAAATCCTCATCTGTTCCAGAAGTCTGGTTTTCTGCTCGGTATATAAATAAAACGTGTCAATATTTCTTACAGCCTCACTTCATCACCTTGCATTTTTATTGACCTGGAGTACCATGTTTGCCACATCTGTTTTTAAAATGAAAACTTGTTACAGAGAAGCATGAAAGAAACTTTCCAGGCAGTCCACGCACTGCGTGCTCACAGCTTTGTAAAAGCAAACTAAGATTGTGGCACATCAGCAGCTGGTCACAGTAACTCAAGGTGTGAAATGATACTGCACACATCCAACTAGGAAGCAGATTTAATTGTACCTGTATAGGTTAAAAACGTTGACCCTTGAGAGGAGGACAGAAAGGGAAAAAAAAGGGGTGGGAAGGTGTTGCTATCAGCCAGCTGTTGCACTTCCCTCATCGTGACATAATTATCAGGAACATTCCCTACATAGAGCTACCACAGCTGCTTCTTACCTTCCAGATATAAGCATTGTGATCACTGGATCCACTGGCCAGGAACTGGTCATCTGGACTCACACTGGACTTGATGTAAAATGAAGCGTTTAGGTGGCCATTAAAAACTGCCACTAGAGGGAGACAAAAACACAAACCATCAGACACACTTCAACCAAAATATGGGCAGATCCGATTCCTCATTGGGCCATGCGAGTCCGAACCAAGCAGAATGAAACCAATTAATTAAATTCAGGATGAAAAGAGTAAGGAGGGAAAATATATGCGGTGAAATTGTGGGAAAAACAATCTGTTTATCTTTTTAAAAAACACGATGACAACATTGGATAAGTATCAAAGTAACTCAATACGGACACATTTATAGTAGCTCAAGACTGAGGTTGAAGATTTTAGTTTTTTAATATTAAGTATTCACTGTTTTGTAGTCATACCTATACCCCCCGAATGCTGTAAATTAACCTCTAACAAAAGCTACAAAGAGTGGTTTGTGAATTGTTACACTTTTAAAAAAAATGTGCATTGATGTCTTACAAGAATCTATTATGGATATTAAAGTACAGAGTTCCTTTTGAGTAAGGACCATTAACTCTTCCATGTGCTTTCTCCTCCTGTATTACTCCACCCAGCCCCGGCAATGTGATCTCAGGAGATGGCTTTTCTTAAATGTATTTCAATGTCAGCTGAAGATTTTTGAAGCCAGGCCTCTGTTCCTTTAAGTAAGCAAAGATCACTTTGCCTTTCTAAACCATTTTAATGAGATACTTTTTTATTGATATTGTAAAGCACATGGTGTGATGAATGCAGCAATATTTATGAACCACTTGAATGTGGTGCTTTCCCCTCTCCCATCATGATCTATGATTAGCTCATTTGAGTCTCCAAGGAAACTGACCAACGACAACAGGGTGATGAAAACAGTGCAAATAGAAGAGCAAATTCATTTCCATAAGGGAAATGGATTACAGCCAAGATCCCTTAACAATTAAACTTAATTACTAAATGAAGTACTCCTTTCGTTCTGTCTCTCAGCTGTGTTAGCTGGAGAAGTGTAACAAACTGATTATTTGTTTAATTCATGTAAAAGCCTATGAGGGCATAGGTAGAACATAAAAGGTACTGAATTATTTTGTTCTTCAATCTTTGTGGGGTTCCCCAAAAAAAAAAAGACTGAAACAGCCTTTGTGAAAGCATAAAAAAAATAAAAAGCCAAAATGTAGATTGCACCCCTCGAGCCAGGAAAGTTAAAAGGATTTGCTGCTGGAAATCATCAGCTATGAGAAGTAACACTTTTTGTTCTGGTTCTTCGCTCTTATTTTGTTACAAACAAACCTCGTGCTTTGAATAGAAAATACTTTTTTGGAGTGCAGTCAAAAATTGTTTAAGATTGCACTTGGCAGGTCAGTCTGTTTAAATGGATGGCTCTTTTCAACCAAGACACTGACTGTGGAAGAGTTTGAGGTCAAGCGGTTCTCTCAGGAAGATGCTTGAGGTGCTACAGCTCAGCTTCTAGGGCTATGAATGTAAGCCGCTCGTGGCTCCTACCTGGGGCGACTTTCGATCCCATCATGTTAAACATGTAAATGTTCTCATCTGTGCAGTTTGCAAACAAGCTTGAGCCAGTAGAATCCAAGGTCAGTCCAGAGTAGCCTGTCCAAAGGACAATTTAAAGGCAGAAAACATTAAGATGCAGCATATGTATGTTTTTTCCTAAACAATACAATTTTTACCTATTTTATAATAAATTACAAAAATATCCCTTAACGTATATAGCTCTTTCCTGGGCACTCCACAAAGTACTTTACAGGTAATGGGGACTCCCCTCCACCACCACCAGTGTGCAGTCATGGACGATGGATGATGAATGATGCAATGGCAGCCATAGTGCGCCAGTACGGTCACCACACACCAGCTATCAGTGGGGAGGAGAACAGAGTAATGAAGCCAGTTCATAGATGGGGATTATTAGGAGGCCATGATCAGTAATGGCTAATGGGAAATTTGTACAGGACACTGTGGAAACACCCCTACTCTTTTCGAGAAACACCCTGGGACTTTTAATGCCTATGGAAAAGCATGGAGACCATAGAGAGCACAGACATCTTAGGGGGAGTCTTTTAGGATCTGAGCAACCTAATTTAAGTGTTTAAGGCAGTATCTTAACTGCCACACTGCTCTTGTTGCAGGTCTATATTCACTGCTTCTCCTGCCCACATGAAGGATGTAAAGGTTTCAAGAGGTAAAACAGAGCGGTTCTCACCCAGTTTGCGAGTGCTGGTGCCAGGGTATGGGTACACCTGCAGAGGAACCGGGTCCTGGAGGTGAGACGTGTAGTTTTTCCTCAAGTCCCACATCTTGATCACGCTGGTGTAAGAAAAGACACAGAGCACATTCACTGCCGGTACCGTCTTCATTAGGAACTTTTGTATTATCTAAAGCTTGAAAGTCTGTCAAACTTGGATCCTGCGACACATGAGGTACCCTGAGCAGGAGCCTACCTCGTACTCAGGACCCAGGCAGAAATTCCCTGAACCCTTACCCATCCACGGCTCCCGAGGAAATGAGGGTGTTCTCGTCACGGAAAAGCACCACTGTGACGCTCTGCTGGAAATCCTGGGAAAAAAGCAATTTTCACAGTCAGTTTTGATCCATGACAGCATGCTAGTTCCATGCTGCTAACTAAGGAGGCACATTTTCAATTTATTCACAGCTTTCTCCAATCACCCATGAAATTAAGTAGGTCATTTTCAATTGCACAGAGCGGGGGTTTCCAATCCTGGTCGTGGAGACCCTCAACCTGCTGTTCTGTATCTCAGCCAAGCTCTGAGATACACAACTAAACCCTTAACTGACTTGATAACAGGACTCACTGGAACAGTTTAACTTTCTCTCTTAAATGTGTCAGAGGCTGCCCTTTAACTATAGGATTTTCACTTTTTTTTTCAGTAGAACAGAAACACAAATGTCTGAGTGCTAATATTTCAATCAGGTAACTAGTTAGCTCAATTAAATCTCTGCTTAAGTAATTAAGCCAGGCTGGAAGAAAACCAGCAGCTGTGTGGTGTCTCAGGACTGGGACAGATAACCCCTGATATAGAGAAGTACCCTAGAAAGACTTTCACCTTGTACTTCGATAAAAATAGAACTATCATTTTCTTATTTGTGGAAAGTAGGTTTAGCAAGATATTTTGTATCATCATGGGTTCTATTCACTGTTCCTTTATTTAATGAAGATCAAACCACCATTATACTGTTATCTTGTAAAGCAGAAATCCTGGTTTCCAGTTCTAAAACTAACTTAGCACCATTACCAATGCTCCGCCATCCCACTTTTCTGTTGAAAAAATATTAAAAATATACTTCCAATGAAATATCTTCCAAAAACACTCTGGTTTTCAGAAAAACTCTTTTTTTAAAAATCTTAAGGCTACGTCTAGGCTTTCGACTTTGTTTAATCAAAACATATTTTAAAAGGTATTTTTTAAAAGTCAGCTATGATAGCGCAGATTCCTCGAGTTAGAGAACTGCAAGCAATTCACTGACATTTGTCAGAAACGTGCGGTGAGATGTTGCACCACAAGACCAGTGAAAACCAGCACCGCGTTCACCTTTAAAGGTTTTTCACCTCAATTTGTTTGCTGTACCCAGACATGAGTAGAACAATGAAGACTTCTCCTGGCTGATCTGTTTGGCAATGACCAGAGACACACTCACCACTACAGGTGCAATGCCTCTGCCAACCTGTCGTTTCTTCTTGGGTTTGGAGGGGGTGTGTTTTTCAGGCTTATTGTGTGCCCCACAGATCTGCTTCACTTGCCTGTAACATCCATCTAGAAAATATTTTACACATTAGGAGCTTTGCACACCATTTTGCAAACGCAAGACCCGACAGTCTCATTATTTTTTAGCTGAAATTGGCGAATTGTCCTAGGCCACGACCACAAAACTACATTCTCCTTGTAATTAAACTGAAAGATATCAGGAATGGTGCAGTGAAGAAAACAGGGATACAACACAATTTTAAAATTAAATACACAACAACATTCTGATACACAAGTGACTGAGCTCCTACCTTTTTTAGTGCACCTTGTATCCCAAACCATGATGTTCCCATCTCTGCCTCCAGTACAGAAAACAGCTACAGAAAGAAAGACGACGTTACAATCTGAAATGATATAAAGCTTAATTCCACTGCCTCAAAGAAAAATTAGCTGCAGATTATGACATCTGCTGATGCAGAGGTTTAAGTTCCCTTCCAAGCTAGTAAAGTGGCCTGCCAGGACTATTTATAGAGTGCTTGTTATTTCAAAGAGCTGCCTGGCAAGGGGCAGCCAAGACAACAGGAGAGAGGAGAGCAGAGAGGAGTGTCTACTAGGTTAAGCCTCTAAGTCCACCTCAGGATATTCACTTATTTCAAGATGATGAATGTACAGCTGGAGCGTTGCAATACTATTTTCAGTAATGGACCAAACTGGTGAAAGTTTATAACTATATACAGTCAACACAATGGTTTCCTGAATATCCGCATAGTAGAAGAAATAAGCTAAATAAATGAAACGGACTAGTGGGTTGGATTTCTGCTCTGATTATGCATTAGCCAAGGAAATGAATGAGACTAACATGCTGGGTGTTGTGTTGTTGTGCTAAAGAATTTAAGCATTGCACCTTTTCATTCATTCTGCATGAGACACAGAGCCTTGATTCTCATTACTATTCACTAAGGTGATGAGGAACTGAACTTTTCATGGTCAATGCTGGCTGCAATTCTGAATTAGAGTTATCAGTGCTGAGACTCTAGCGTAAATTCTGCCCAGATATAAGAAATATCTGCTGTCAAAAATATTCCCCAAAGATCACAAAGATACTTTTGCTACCAGACTGAGGTCCTTCCAACTTGTTACCAACCCATTAGAACTTCAGGTGAGAAGCTCCACCTTTGCAACGTCTTTTTCTGTTGTGTCAGTTTTTTCATATCTTAACCAGGTTCCAGACGTAACACTGGAGCAAGACATGTTTTTTTGGGGGGGTAAAAAAGTCATTGCTCAGTTCTGTGAGCCTCACCCTTTTCCTGCCTTGCAAAAGCTACCGATTTCAGGCTGCACTGGTGCCCTTTGAAGGTGCCCAGGAGGTCTTCTGTCTTCACATCCCACAGCTTTGCTGTCTGGTCCCCAGATGCTGTAACCTGTGGGGTAACAAGGGAATCCATTACTGGAGAACAGCAGGTGTATGAATCCTGAGTCACTGGACAGACATGTCCATCTCTAGAGGGTGATAAACCAGTAAAGGAGATATGATACTCCTTACAGAGAAAACATTTGCAGAAACTCCCATTACATTGTAGAGTTTTCTAAAACTCCAGACTGGAAAAAGGATCAATATTTATTAATAGCAAAATCCTGTACAGAGTTTTGAGATTACACTTGAATTCCAAGTAATTTAGTTTTCCTATAGGATAACAGACAGAGACAACAGAGGATCTACAACCACAAGACAGAATGTCTGAGCTCTGCTTGAACTGGTTAAAATATACCTAAATATCTAAAAAGATACTAGGTGTTTGCTTTAGTTAATTTAGAATTTTTGAGACACGGTTTCTTCACATGTAAGAAATCAATGGCACTCACAAGTCGCGGCTCTCCAGGAACCCAGGCAATATCAAAGACGGCATTCGTGTGAGCCAGCCAATCTAAAGAGAGGGGGGACAAAGAGCTAAGGTTCAAGTACATACTTTTCAGAAGACGCCCACGTGTTCATTCCTGTGAAGGAATTGGTAAAAGGTTTTTACTTCCTTTACAAAATGAAATTATCATTCATCACTGCACAGATACAGATGTCTTTACTAAACACCTCCTGGTCTGGTGTTTTTCTTTTGTGTGGAAAAGTGACGAGTGCTCACATCTTAGGGGACACTATTCACATCAGGATCTTTTCAGGAAGTGAAGTGTGGCAATAAGGTATTGCAAGGTATTGGAACAGGGAGGACAATGGCTCCAACAGTCGTAGTTCATCCCACTTTAGGTTTGTTAGAAACTTTATAAGCAAAAGCTTGTGCTGTATGACGATGTTATGACTGGGGGGGGGGGGGGGGGGATGGGGAATCAAGCAAAGAAGCAGAGTTGATTCAGATAAATGGAGACCCTTTCAATCACTCTTTACCTTTCAAAAGTGGACGCCTGCGTGACTCTGTGTCGTACAGCCTGACGACACCTTCTTCGTTTGCCACAGCCAGGATCTGCTGCAGGCCTGGAGCTAGTGAACAGAGACCCACGTTACAGCGACAATTATCCTGAGAAAAGTTTTCTGTGTATAACACCAGAGGAACTAACTACGAGTAACAGAATCCATTTTCACGTCTTAAATCTGACACTAAGCAATTTTGTAAAACTTACTGCTAACTCACAATTTTCAGAAAAGAAATCTCACAAGCAGATGAACTCCAGTCAACACCAAATTAATTTTACAGAACAGTGTGCTGTTTGTCAACAGCCATTAACTTGCCGTGTCTTTCTAGACATAAAAGTCCTTTAATAAGACATGTAAACTGTTCAGCTGTATAAAAGATGATGTTCGTCTTAACTCATCCTTATTTAGTTGTAATTTGCTCTTTAAACGCCTCTGATAAAGACTAAACAAAGCTTAACACCTATACCTGACATCTATATAACAAGCTTTAACATAGTTGTGTTAAAAAGTAATTTCGGAATTTACAATACATAAAAAGTACATTTCACAATAAGGTCAAATCACAAAGCCAAAAAACGAAGGAGATAAAGAATATAAAACAGTGACAATGTTTTTCAGAAAAATAAGGTTTTAGACTAGAATTAAAAGCACTAAAATGTTGCTGCATTACTCATAGATGGTATTCCAGAGCATAGCGACAGAATGCGGTATCACCCCGAAAGTGTAGATGAACCACAGAAACACCAAAAAAGATCTAAGTCAAAAAGAGTGGAAAGGAGGAAAAGGGTATAGATACTGACTAGATACCGGAGGGTCGCACCATGTAGACTAATGAAGGTAAGAAGGATTTGGAAATTAACAGGAACAGGAATCCAAACACTCCAAAACAGGAGTGACGTGACGAGATCATTTGTGAGTGACCTAGTCAGGATTTAGCTTCCGAATTTTGAACATACTGTAATTTAAGAGTAGCCTAGAGATTCCTGCACAAAGAAATGCAGAAACATCCTCCCCAACCCCCTCTAAAGAGCGGACACCTTAGGAGGTAACCTAGAACATTTCTAAGAAGGAAAAACAAGCACTGTGCATAAAGCAGTTATTTTTTATTTAAATTATTTTTCCTAATAATTATCCATTTGTTTTTCTCTTGAGTTTTGTTGGGTGCAAGGTCACATTAAAGATGCAAATATGTCTGACATAATTTTTCTTTGATTTCTGGCTTTACATCACAAAAACCTGTAATTTCAATAAGGGTGTGTAGACTTTTTATATCTGCTACATGGGTTTCAAAATGAAGCAGGATCGAAGATAATCCCCAAATCCATTCTTCCAATTCAGAACTCAAACGAGGTGCCCTCAACAAGTAAAGCTACAGAGTGGGATTTAAAGAAAAAACCCAGTCACGTTACTGGATTTAATATCAAACCAAATAAGGAAATGAGCAAAAAGTGAGGATTTGAGATGAGGGCGATTTATTTCAATCCACATCATATTTAGCTTGTAACAGGCTAAAACACAAATACACTTTTTGGCGATCCTATACCTGTAGAAAACGTGCATCCGAATGGAGGAACTGGAACCCCCATATCGCCATACGAGATGTGCTCATCTTGTCTAGCACACTGGTAACAATCTAACAGGGAGGAAAGCGGATACACACGCTCCGGCCCTGTAAGGGAAAACAGTGTTGAGAGTTCATTCATTCTTGTTAAGTTAAGCCCGCGCGACCGCTCCCGTCCACATCTATTCATTTAAAAAAACTCCGTCCGAGTGTAAGTTTCTACGATCTACTTCGTACGCGATTTTGCTTAAATCCTTTAAAATATAGTTTAACGTTAAATAGAACAGTTAAGAGTTTCATAAATAAATTCAATGAATCCTAAAAGTTTCATTGGTCTAAACGCCGTTTTACAGTGCGGCCTCTGTTTTAGAAATACTGATCGCATTGATAAAAGCTTCCGTGTCCACATCGCGATCACCAATATCATCAATATAATGGATGTTGGTATTGCTTTCTCGAAACCGATGAGTTAAGAAGTTGATTTTAGATGGTTTCACACAGAGAAAAACCGAAAATGAATCGTATTGAAGCGTGTTTCCCACCCAACCCCCTCATCTTTACATTTTAACACCCCACCGTAGAGGAAGAAAGAGCACCATTTTGAGCAGCAAAAGCGAATCCTTTTACTTTAGGAAAAATAAAATGAATGAAAAGCACTTTAAATATATTCATCCGCGTTGATCACCTCATAATTAGAAGATAATGGCATAAATAGACACAAAAGCTAATTTCAGAACGCCCCCCAAAAGAAACAAGTTAAACAAGAAATGGTCGATCTTTTTACTTTCTCTCTTTAAATAGGTCTTGATTCAAATACTATGCAAGGTATTTAAGAGGCAAAATGTGAAGATCTAACGCATTCCTCCCCCAGTTTTGAAGATTAATTGACTAGAGAGCCAGTACTCTATATTAAATCATCACCTAGCAGCTAATTTAACTTACCATTGTGCCTCCTTCTGAGAACTCCTCTATCAACAATGGAACGAAATAGCATCTTGCAATTTGTTATTGTGTTTAAAACTCAATTGCAAATTAAATGGATTTAAATTTCACAATGCAGCACCACTAGCTGTGTTTCTCTTCCTAATGAAATACACAAGTACCCTTTCCCGCGAACTCAGAAATGAAAAAAGAATACGAAACACCCGCCTAAATGACGTTTCGCTACATGATTGGTCAAGAAAGCACAGAGTGGTCAGACTCCACCCACTCTGCGTAACAAAGCGAGTACCAGTCAGAGATACCTGGATCCAGATTAACTACTCAATAAAGTACAGATCCCAACCCTCTCCCATAACCTACAGAAAATATTACCTCCTCAAACAGGTACCAAAACTTCCCGGTCATCTAGCATTTTGAATATCCACTGATGTCACGTTATTGCGCCTTTCTTGCGGCCTAGTGGCGGCAGCACGTTTACGTCATGGGCGGGTAGTCGAGTGTTTGTGTCACTTCCTGCCGCTTTGCACTGCTGGGATGTAGCAGTTTCTTTTGTGCCATGTATGCAGTATGATTGTGTTTTAATTGAAAAGTCCTTTTTAAAATCAGATTCTCAAACGTATATTGTAATAGAGAAAATTGTTGACTATATTTGACTTTCAGTCTAGGAATCATGTCTTTAACAACGGCGCGATCATTCTTGTCAGAAGCTGGTTACGGGGAGCAAGAATTAGATGCCAATTCTGCTCTGATGGAGCTGGACAAAGGTAGTTACACACACCTGAGTAAAACGCGTGCAATGCTTTGAGCTTCGAGCTGTTAAAAATGTAAGAGGTCGTTCATGGGTGCTGCTGTTCTGTAATAAAAATACTTTGTTTTGGTGGATTCATGTAAACACCAGCCTAGGCCGTTTTGGTTCTTCCGTTCCACTGTGACTCTGCTGCTCACAGTATAGATTAGGCAGTTAAAGTAATTGTTGGATCAATGATTAATCATTTTACTGAGAGAGACGAATTTGTTCAGTCCTTATTATTCAGTGATTGCTGCGCTATATGGTGTAATCTAAATCGTAACATATACAGTATATTATGTATATACAGATAGTAGACAGAATATGCACAACCCAGTGGAATGAATGCACGAATGTGCCATGCAATTCTGCAGAAGGGATGCAGCACCATTCTTCCACGAGAAAGCCAATCAACTCTCACCTGGTTAATGGAAGTGGAAAACACTATCTCACCCCACGGTTCAGAATATCCCATAAATGCTTGGTAGAGTTTGGATCAGGTAACAGAGAAGGCCATGTGATGTGGAAAACAGCAGTGTCACCTTCATCAAAACACTGGGTGACCACATGTGCGCTAAGGGCATTGACATCCTGGAAGACTCCCCTCCAGGCAGGGAAGAAATTCTGCAACACAGGGTGAAGGTGATCACCATTAAGTAGTGGTTACATTAACCTTACCTTCTAAGGGAAGGAGTTCACCTAAACTGTGGCAGGAAAATGTACCCCTTAACATTACTGTACCCAGGGCTGTAGAGTTCTATAGGATGGTGCCAAAAATGGTGAAGAACGATTTATCTAAACAAATGACCTTTTTCTAGTACTTGATAGTCCATTTGCTGTGCTCTTTGCACCACTAGTCTTACAGGCGTCTGTTACAAGAGGTAATGAGTGATTTGCGCTGTGCAACCCCTCTAAATGATCCTGCTGTGTGGATTTCTCAGCATTTCTCTTGATTAAACCGGCTGCTTGTGCCCCAGGATGAAATTTGTAGTTCTGATTAATGCTTGGATATTACCATCCTGGAGTATACTGACCCATTGTTAGGACTGACCGAAGATGTCTTTTCTATTGGGTTCCATGCTGAAATCAGCTTAGACACTATGACTCTTGATCACTTAAGTTTCTGCTAAACACCCCTTCAAAGTCACTGATGTCTCCCCTTGAAGTTATAATAAAGGCCAACCAGGCCTGTCCAGCATTTCTATACATGACTCTAAGAACGCTGGGTTGTTAATTGCTTAATTAATGTAATGAATGAGTTCTGTTTTTCCTCCATTAGCTGTGTATTTCTGTATATGTCATTGAATCATATATACATACACTAAATCCTTTTTAGATCCTGCACCAATCCTTGTAAAGACTGCAAGATTGTTGTATCACCTGAATTCTTTCATCTTAAGTTATTTACTGTATGAAATCCTAAGTTGGAGTCTTCAGATGTGCAGCAGCACAGTTTTTTTACTAACCAGTATTGTAAAAATCGTTCCCCCCCCGAAGGGCTGCGGTCCGGCAAGCTTGGAGAACAGTGTGAAGCTGTGGTGCTCTTTCCCAAGCTGTTCCAGAAATACCCGTTCCCTATCCTGATCAACTCCGCCTTTCTGAAACTGGCAGACATCTTCAGACTGGGGTATGTGTTGAAATGAGCTCCCTTCCAAGCACAGCACTTCGTCTTTTACTGCTCTGCTTAACTGAGTTGCTTCTTAGGGTTTCTTGCTAAATTGAAAAAAAATCAAACAATTTTTGCATTTAGTGTGATTTTTCAGGCTGTTTTAGTTTTTGCATGCCTCAATGGAGAAGGTTTTATACAGTATGGCAGCATGAACTCACCATGTTCTGAAGCCATGCAAAACGTAACTGGTGATCAGTCACAGATAATTTGTTAAATTAAGTAGTATGAAGATTATTGGGAGCAAAACTCTTCAGTCCTAAAGGACAAGTGTTCCTTTAATTGGAAAAATTACTGGCCTAATTGAACAAAAAGTACAGGTGGTCCCAGACTTTAGAAATTAGTGATTTCGGAATACTCAGTGACTTCTGCATGGTAGTACAATGCTACTCTACGAAAGCTGAATTTGACATTACAAACAAAATCTAACAGCATCATTTCTGAATGTCACCTTCGTTCCCTTGAATTCCCAAGAGAAGGGGTGGTCTCTTTTGTTTCCTGTAAAATTTTGAAAGTGCAGTCAACAACAGGGCTCATCTGGCAGTCACAGTTTATTATTTTATTACTTACATTCCAATGAGTCATTACATGTTTTTCAAAAATAAAAAGTAACTTGTGTTTTTTTAGCTGAATGAGAAATGTTATCATATTCCTTTCTGACTTGTTTTAAAATTCTGTAATGTTAAAACCCAATTGAATGTGATACTAGGGTGTATGTCACAAACATCTACTTTTTAACCATCTTAAAATAAGATGGACCCTTAGTTTTTGTGTTTTTATGAACAGTAGGCATTATCTCCCAATTGTTCTGTCTTTCTGTCACAGAAACAATTTTCTACGGCTCTGTGTGCTGAAGGTGACTCAACAGAGTGAGAAGCACCTGGAGAAAATCTTAAATGTTGATGAGTTTGTCAAGAGGATTTTCTCCGTCATTCACAGCAATGATCCAGTGGCCAGAGCCATCACTCTCAGGTACCGAGAATTGTAAACGATAATTAAGTAAGAATTATATAATTAAAGGGATCATCAAACATGGCCTTTTTCCAAAGAAAGATACCAGAGCAAGCCTGCGGATCAGTTACATGACACTCAGAGATCCCTCACTAAGGCATTTGTAACAAGAAATTGCTTAGAAAAGTATGGCAGATACTGAGTTCCTCATGGTGTGGCGCAGGGGGTTAATTTCCACATGGAGTTTCTATGCTCTCCCCGTGTTTGCGTGGTTTTCCTCCGGGTGCTCCGGTTTCCTTCCACAGTCCAAAGACATACTGGTAGGTTCATTTGGCTTCTGGGAAAACTGGCCGTGGTGCGAGTGTGTGCATGTCTGTGTCTGTGTGTGCCCTGTGATGGAGTGAGATAGACTCCAGCTCCTCCCACAACCCTATACTAAATAAATGGATAGGGAAATGGCAGTAATACACTCTGTGTGCTGAATGATATACTATAATAAGGGTTTTCCTTGTCAAGTGATGATTGTATCCCTGTTTATGCCTCTTGTTTCTGTTTTGGTGATTTTTTTCAATGGTGACTCGAGTTTTTCTTTTCATTTTGAAGAATGCTGGGTAGTATGGCCTCCATTATCCCAGAGAGGAAGAATGCCCACCACAGCATCCGCCAGAGTCTGGACTCTCACGACAATGTGGAAGTGGAAGCAGCGCTTTTTTCCGCGGCCAGCTTCTCTGCCCAGTCCAAGTCAGTGTCACATTTTTGTTTAGAGTCAGGGTGTTGCTGGGGGGGGGGAGCATTTCCTTAAACAGATTGTCTCACACAGTGAATGCGTGGGGATTGTTACACTCCACATTTCGTATCACTTGATTTTGGTAATCGCCTTGGTAATGAACCTTCCACCAAAAATAAGTTCTGGAAAAAAAACTTCTCAGGTCAAGCTAAATGTGAGGGCACAGAAAGAAGCAAATCATAAAGGTTAGTGTGGTGTGAAACTGATCTCGCCTGTGTGATTTCCTCACAAAGCCTCTCAAAAGCCGTTTAAAATGAAAGAGTTGGGAACTGGAAGAGATCAGTCGAAAAATGACCGATAATTTAAAAAACATTCCAAAAAGTGAAACTCTGTAAGTATGAAAGGTGGTTATTGTGAAATATTCCTATAAACATGTATTTTTTAAAGGAGCCCGTTATATCACTTTGCTACTTACCTGGTTCTTGATTTTCTTAGGTGTTTTTACCCAGGTACTTTTCAGTGCTTTCTAAGTGTCTCAGTGAGACGTGTTCACTAAAAATAAAGCTCTTATAAAGAAACATTAGTCACTTAATGTCACTAATGTGACATAGTGTGCACTCAGATCCTAACACCTGCTCATGTGACTTTGTCATGCAGTCAGTACTGAAGGAACCATTGATAATAACCTTAGCCAGATCGAAGCCACATTCCCTTACAATGATGCGGACATCCTTGCTGGGCAAATGAACACAGGTTCTGTTTTGCAATAAACTAACAGTATGTGTTAGTTCTGAACGTGGTGCTTTCCTTAATTGAACTGGTGAAGCAACTTGACACTTCTCCGCCTCATAGATTGTGTAGCATGACTGCTGATGCATTATGGCTGCTGCAAGACCTCAAGGATTGACCTGCACTTTAATGATGGATGAACTGGTCCCCTCCTATATACTGTATAAAGCAATTTGAAGTCCTTTGGGGTAGAGTACTATGTATGTTTACACAACTGTTATCATAACGTTATATACATATAGCTGTCACACAATAAATGGATGAACACAATAAGACTGATAATGGTTTAATAGTATTCACAACAAGAAAATGCATGTGTGTTATAAAATGCGTTGGTCTGATTTTGTATGTCTGTGTTTTATTTGCAGAGATTTTGCAGCAGGAATTTGCAACAAAATTGGTGAAATGATCCAAGGTAGGTTGTTCCACTGAAGCCCATTTTATTCCTCCTTGAAAGGTGTTGTTCTGTCAGTCTTGTAATTTTCTTAATTTGTTATATATACGGTCACTGACCTTTAAACTAAATTTGTACTTCCATTTAGTTCAGTTAGTGGTGCCATCGCCCTATTGTATGCATTTTGTTTTCCACAGCCCAGTTGGAAATTGCCATTTGTAACAAAACATCAGTTGTCCGACAGCTCATCTGTTTTGTTTGGCCAACAGCGCAAATTGCCGAGCCAAGGAGAAAGACAGTGGATTTGACATAGCACTCACTGGTTTCATTGCCAACGGCAGCATCTCTGTTACATGAACGAACTAAACATACCTGTGTTGTTCGTCTGATTTTATGACACTGTTTTAGAACACCTGTTCTCAGCTTGCCAACAGATATAGCATTTCATTCTTAATGGCATTATAATATATCATATCATATGTGGATTATAGAAAGGATTTGATTACCGCATTGAGTTCTTTTCTAAGACAACTGTATGTTTGTTTCCATTTATTTTTGGTAATACTAGGGATTGAATAAACTAGGCTTGGTTTCACCTGCCCTTTACCCAGGGCTGCGCTCAGGCTCTGGTCAGGACCTGTTAATGCTGGTCGCAGCACAGCATTTTGTGGAAGTAATCCGGCTCTGCTAATTTCTTCTCCACACAAAGGGTTGTGGGAGTCTGGAACGACCTATGCAGCCACGTTGCCGAAGCCAGTACCATTGCTGAATGAGATTGTTGGATCAGATAGTTTCTAAAAACCAAATGGCATACAAGGGCTGGGTGTCTTTCGCTCAGTTGAAGCCGTTCTTGTGCTCTTGTATCCCCAGGTCTTGACACTCCCGTGGATCTGAAGCTGAAGCTCATCCCCATTCTGCAGCACATGCACCACGATGCCAGCCTGGCTTCCAGCAGCCGGCAGCTCCTCCAGCAGCTGGTCACCTCCTACCCCTCCACTCAGATGGTCATCGTGACTTTGCACACCTTCACCCAGCTCGCAGCCTCCTCCCTCATTGATATCCCGAAGCAGGTGGGGTTACCCAAGCACGCCCTGTTCCTTCGACTCTCACGCTCGTTCCTTCCTCTTTCCGTTCTCCCCTGCCCCTGCTCTTCTGTCTCACACGGGTTCGCTCTGTGGGACTGGAGCAGCGTTGTCAAGGTGACTTTGTCCTCTGTCAGAAGGAGAGATGAGCTACAAACCTCAGTAGGTTTTGTGGTTGATGTGCTCAGTTTTTGGTAGCTTTTACGAAGAAAAAGTGAGTGTGAGTGTGTAGTGAGTGTGTCTTTGTACCCTGCGATAGGCTGGTGTCCCAAACAGGATGCATCTATGCCTTGCACACATTGCTTACTAGGATAGTCTCCCCACAACCCTGTATTGAATAAAGCACTTGTAAAGAAAGTGTAAAAAAATGGATGGATGTACTAATCATGCATTAAGCAACACATTCAAAATTCTAATAAACTTTTGCAAATAGTCTGCAGTCTCAAGCATTTTGGAAGAAGGAGTTATCTTATCTAGGCTTTTTTAATTCAGTAGATTGGAATAATTGAGGTTTTTTTTCCATAAAGCAGTTAAACAAAAAAACATTGGATGCTACATTTTTGCAATAGGCTGTGTTAACAAAGGAAATGTTCATCACTGGTCCTGATCATAGCTTATCCACCATCACTATAATGCAGTCCAGTGGACAGTATAACTATTAAACAGTTACTCTTCCTTGCATTCCAGGATGCTTGTAGCCCGGGAGAGCTGTCTGGTCACATGCCCTCCTGGTTAAGGGTTGAGTTATGAGTTTCAGCTCCAGTAGGAACTTACTTATTTTTTCTACATTTCAGCAGAGAGACATGCAGCATTAGCAGTTTCCCCTCTGTCAATCGGATGAGTAACACCTTTTTAACGTCTCCCTTCACAGATTCAGCTTTTGCTGCAATATTTGAAGGAAGACCCTAGGAAAGCTGTTAAAAGGCTGTCTGTCCAAGACCTGAAATTCCTGGCAAAAAAGGCACCTCACCTGTGGATGAGAGAGAATATTCAAGTATGTCACCCTTCGCAAAGTTATCTTTCAGCATTGTTATGCTCTTGTTAAAACATTTTAATAAAGCCAGTGTATAGTCATTGTGTATTACTGAATTTACTGATCTTCCCATTTTTCATTTACAGTTTTAACTTTTCTTAAAACTTTTGCCTACTTCTTTAGTTCTTCTCCAATTTTAAAGACATCTCTGACATTAAACATTTTCTCCATTGCAGCAATTTAAAACAACATATAAGGCCTCTCTCATTGATGGCCCACAGATTTATAGGTGCTCCTTAAGTATTAAGCTGCAACAAAGTAATTTAATTCCTTATTATACATTTTTTGTGGAATTTAAGAAGGGGTGATAAATTGGATTTGGAACAAAATCGCAGATGTTCTTTTAATGCGTAAGGTGACCTTTCAGTCTTTTTTTCTCTGGGCTACAGACATTATGCGAGTGTGCCCTGAACACTCCCTATGACAGTCTGAAGCTTGGCATGCTGTCTGTGCTGTCCACTCTGTCAGGGACCATCGCAATCAAACAGTACTTCAGCATTGCAGCAGGTAAAGTGAAATGTGACCCAGGAAAGTTTTATTTAATCTGTGAAATTTTTCTATCTGTGTGATTGCAGGGATGGAAGGATGCATTGTCTTATTGTATTCACAAGTTAAAGGCCATTATTGTCTGTTGTTGTAAACCTTCTAAGGGAGAACATTTTACGGTGCTTTTTAATTGACCGGTGCAATACAGGAACAGCAATATATCAGCAGATTTAACACAACAAAATAATTGATCTGAAGAAATTTGGCTTGGACTCCAAAAGCTGACCTCCTATTTGTATGTTCCTTTTTCATTTCAAGTGAAATGAAAGGTAAATTTAAGATGAAATTTTCCTCTTTTTTTTTACTTGAGGGAAAAAACAAAACAAAATGGGAAAAACACTTAGTGAAAACTTGGGAACTTGGTGCCACATTAATGTTACCAGACCTAGGAGAAATCTGGGAATCTGTCTGGCCTGACCTCTAGGATTTAATATTGGATTATCAATAAACTCCAGAAAAGACCAAATCCATTAACAAAACTGAAAAAAAGTGAGGAACAAGACTGGACACCCTGCTACATAATAGAAAATGAAACAATTGCACATGTTTTATAACTCGCTTGGCTAATCATCCTGTTTTTTCCTCTCTCAGGAAGCAGCTCTGCTCCCCCACGACCCACTGATCTAGTGAGGTTAGCGCAAGAGTGCTGTTACCATAGCAACCTGGCAGTGGTAGCTTGTGGCGTCACCGTTTTGTCCAATATTGCAATAACCTGTCAGGAGAAAGGTAGGCTTAAATAGACACTCCAGAGCTTCACAAGCCTTTTCAAACAAAAAGGATATAACCCTTTCCAAGTACTTTCTTGTTAATTATTGCCTTTACTTTTCATTCATCTCTGATTTTGACTATTTCCGGTCTTTAATATACAAAAATTCCATGGAAATAGTCTCTACCAGGGTCCATAGGGTTTGTGTAGTTTGTTTTTGATTTTACATACGTTTTCGTCCATCATAAAGCCCAAGATAAAGCACAGGGAGAGAGGTGCAAAGCAATGAATTGCACATTTCAGCCCTACAGAGCTCTTCAGTAAACCTTACAGAACAGTGCTGGATTTTAGGATATTTTTAGCACTTGATCTGCTTAAAAACACAATTCTGAATTCCACGAAAATGACATTCCATTGTTTTGAGTAATGGGCAGAGGAGGAAACGTCTTGTTCTCCTGAGTTGTTCTGCAACCAGGAATAAAGCGGTGTTGAGTGATTATGGGGTGTCTCTCCCTTCAGCAAAGGATCAGTTTGTCATGTCTGTTCTGCAGATCTCCTGCAGGTGGAGCAAGATGCTGTGCTTGGCCTTGAGTCTCTGCTGGTTCTTTGCAGTCAAGAAGATAGTGCCAGTGCTCAGGCCACTTTAAAGGTATTTTTAATTTAAAACCTGCAACCTCTCTTTTTCTTCTTTTTATTATCGTATTTGTTCATTGGACTTCAACTAAAATGCTGCTGTTGGTGAGTTAGCTATTAAGTTGTCATCCTGTACCTTAAACAGCCAGAAAATTTTAACACAGGATTGTGCAAGTCTTTTAATTGGAGCGTCCAGGAAATGTGCTCATGGTTTACTTTGGCCAGGAGTATTTAAAAGGAAACTATTAGGAGGTTAAACCCGTGTAAGTGAAAAACAAGCAGATTATTTTTGTTTTTTATTCTAGAAACAGTTAAACGTCCCCTATGAAATGCATGTGGCCCAAAACAGTTGCCTGGTTAGATGATTCTATAATACTGTGCCAAGTTCTTACCCCCTGCCAGTGATGTTCCATTATGTTGGATTACAAATCACGTACGCACAATTTAACCAAGTTCACCCCTTTACCGTCGCATAATGTATTACAATATAAAGCATGTTATGTTGAAAGACAAAGGTAACTTTCCCTTAGATGGTAGTAAAAGTGCTAATATGTTGGCTTTAAGTTAATTTAAATAACATTGATCAACTAAAAGAAACAACAGTAATCACAACCTTACAGTAAACAGTTAAAATAAACAACATGAATCACTCGTCTCCCTCCAGCCTGCCACTGTCTCTTTCTTGTTCTACCTCTGTGGTTAGCATGCCCCACTATAATTAAACAAGCGTAAAACAGGCTCAGAAAAGTCATCTCCAGCCTCTCATTCCCCATGCTGCCGACACAGAGCTTGGAGCGTTGGTTACAATAGAAAAACAGGTGCTGTAGGTTTACACGTTGTTGCTCGCCTGTCTTCCGCTGTGGTGCAGACAGCCCTCACCTGCATGGTGAAGCTGGTGAAGTGCCGCCCTCACCTGAGCCAGTCCGTGGTGGAGTTCCTGCTGTGTCAGCTCCACTCGGCGCAGGACGTTGCCCGCATCCTCATGTGCCACTCCCTAGCGGCCATTGCCATGCAGCTGCCAGTCCTTGGCGAGGGCATGCTGGGAGATCTGGTGGACCTCTATAAAGTCATTGGCCGCTCAGCCACTGACAAGCAGCAGGAGCTACTGGTGAGATGACATCTTTGTTGCTTCTTAGTATTCAGCCAGTGAAGCTTTTCTGAGAGGATTGTATTTAACCACTGATACTGCAAAGACATAGAAGTTTGCCTTTTAAATAACAGAGGCGTCCCTGGCCTTTTCTGAAATTATTTTTTCCTTAATCTCCATGTAATAAGCAGGTATTCATAGTCCTAAGAACTCACAAAATTCTCATTATTATAATATACAGTATATGTATTTTTTTGCACAACTTTTTAAAGAAAAAGTCATGAATGAGGTTGCCTGAAAAAATGTAGTGTTATGTATCATCATACAGTACACTGTTTCAGCTGTTTAATTAACTTACATATCATTTTTCTTTTAATTGTTCACATCCTGGTCGTGGGGCAGGGGCATTAGTCATTTTTATCAACCCAGCGCTAATTAGTGTGTTTCAGAGCTGCCCTCGTTCAGATTTATTAGCTGAAGCTTTAGGCCTGTATATTACATTATCATTCCCACCTGTGCCTGTTCATCATAATTGTGTCTGATCATCTATTACATTTTAGTCAGAGTGAAAGGAGCACATTCTTAATTAGCAAGTTGCAGAAAGCCTGCATAAAGCTGAATATGCAGAAGTTGTGGGAAATAATGCTCTCTGGCTGGGGTGTTTTTAAGCCAGGTTGTTGTGACTGTCAAGATGTCAGATTGCAGTCATGTAGGCAGAGTATGTCTTCAGGGCTGCTGCTAGTCTAATGTCCACCTGCTACAGGTGCTTCCAAGGTCTGGAGTAAACTCTTGAGTAATTGCTATGCACTCGCAGCAGTGTGTGGTGATGTATGATGCTGTATTGGATTCTAACTACTCTGCCTTTAAGTAGAACTAATTCACAGCTGTTTAGAGGAGGCTGTGCTTTGTCAGTGGTTTTTAAAAGCCAAATTCACGGGACTCTCAATTCAACTAAGGCAGCCTAATGAGGTGATTGTGCCGCGCTGCTGAACTGGGGACCGCTCCAGCTAGAAATCTTTCACTGACAAAGAGGTCCTGTTCGATTGCTCAGCTTGGTTTCTTCCGATTGTGCCTCAGGCTGCGGCTTCACCTGAAGGGCTCTTTCTTTCAGGTCACCTTAGCGACGGTGATCTTTGTAGCCAGTCAGTCGGCTCTTTCTGCAGAGGTGAAGACTGTGATCAAACAGCAGCTGGAGGACGTGGCCAATGGCTGGACAGTGTACAGGATCGCCAGACAGGCCTCCAGAATGGTACGTCCTGCGTGCAGCAGCAATTCTCTCCACTGCTGACGCTTTCGCGGTGGGATTGTACCACGCAGCAGAAATCAGAATTAACAGATGGTGTTCAGTTTGATTGCTAGCTTGCTGGTACAGTTTTCATTAGAGGTTTGTCAGATTGCTTGCCAACAAAATTCACCGAGGTTTTCCCTTTTTTAAAAAAACAACAACCTGTCACTAGAAAATGCAGACTTTTAGAGCAGTCGCTTAAAGTCATAACTCTTAAAATCATAATTCCTTGTTAACGTCAAGGGTGAACCAAATGTCTTACATTTTCCTCTGAGATATGAACTGTCATAAACTGAAACACTAAAGCAAGACTTACTTGTACTCATAGTAAAATAGTAGATTTTTAATTAAAATGATCAGTTTAAGTCTGTTTACATAATTAATGTATGGTTCTTTATTCAAGGTGTCTTTTTTAGGGATCATGCAATACTTATCTTCAGCATAACTTTTATCTGAATTTAGTAGAGCAATTGAAATGCTGTGCTGAAATGCTTCAGAAATGTAACCACAGTTTAAGGGAAAAGATCAGATAAGCAGAGTTAGGTTTGTTCTGTAAGGTTGTGTTTGATATTAGTAATTATTCCAAAGGCACACATTTTGTCATATGGTACGTTTAGGCGAGGTATCCCCTCATGACTGTCAGCAGTGTGTCATAGACAGCAAAGATTCAGTCCATAAAGCAAGTACCAGATGGGGGATCTTATTAGGATCTGCTAGATGGTGACATACAGTATGTTTCTACTACGGGACTGAACCCACAATGAAGGAAAAGTTTTGGGTTGACTTCTACCCTGGTAGCATGAGCAATGAATTCTATCAATGATGGTGTTGCTTTGAGTGGAGCATGGATTGTGCAGCGAGTTTACAATGCAGAGCAAATAGCTGACTTCCAGTTTTAATGACACTATTAAGCACACTATTGTACCAGTCCAAAAATAGGGTTGTACAGATTTCAGATAGTTCTTTATTGCAATACCTGCATATGCATGATCTGCCATTGCTAAATCATGAACAGAAGGGCGATTGGTCAGGAAAGTCCACTCGTAGCCTTTATCAAGGTAGCTGTCACATGTGGTCATCATGCTGCTCAGTCATATTGATCCATGTTTCCATTGAAGGGATCCTCATGTTGCCTTCCCAGGAACATTGTCTTACACGAGGACTGCAGTCCCTATTTCTCAGACTGGTTATTAAAACTCAGTAATAAAATTGCTGCTGCTGGAGTTTAGTAATGATGAAGGGGTGGACCTTGAGCATCCCTGTGTCTTAGCCTTGCATAATTAATAAGTCGAGTCTCAAATGTTTCAGTAATTTCTCCCCATTAGCTCTCCCACACTAACCTTCCAGGAGTAACTTCGGGTTTAAGTTCCTGACCCACAAAGATGTTTTAATCTTGTGTGGACTAAAAAAATAATTAGAAAAAAAAAGATATGGTTTGGAAGTGTTTTGTTTTGTTATTTCTCCACTTCGTTTGTTGCAGTGGAGCATAACAAATGCTGGCTTAATCACAACAGCTTTCCACAGCACAGTGGTAATTCCGCTTGAAGAAATCATGTCTGTTGTAGTGTAATTTTTAAATTTAATTTCTACAGTTTAATGTGCCCTTACCAGCTGGTACTGTAATGGATTATTTATATAAAAGGCAACATAGTTATAACTCTTTATAACTCCTATATTTCTTTTTAAAAGCTTTTTTCTCAGTGCAGTGGGTTTGTGTCTCACACATTGCATATTGAATGCCAGCGGTACTCCTGTACACTTATATTAAAATGTCCCTTGATTTCTATTTAAAGTGAATTAGAGTGGTGCAACCCGTTAGAGGCGATACTGTGTCAAGAATGTTTCCTGCCGCAGAAGGTGTGCTCTCTGGATTTGTGGACTGCGATGCTGTCGCGTGTCTCCTCAGGGCTGCCACGAGATCTCCAGCGAGCTGTACCAGAGCCTGCGCACGCGGGTGGCCTCTGAGCACTTCTACTTCTGGCTGAACAGCCTGAGGGAGTTCTCGCAGGCCGAGCAATGCCTGAGCCAGCTGGAAGGAGGAGATTACAGCGGGGCCATGGCTGCCATTGCAGAGACCCTGAAGTCCTACCAGAAAGGAATCGCGTCGCTTACGGTCAGTGTGCAAAAGCTGCTAGCTCTCTATTAGTAGGGTCTCGACAGTCGCGAGGGGTCGATGCAGAGAACCATTGCAAAAAGTCCCATTCACTTATAACCAAGTCCACCCCCTAGACCATCGCATAATGTACTGCAGTAGATAGTGTGTATGGTTAAAACCCTCCCCATATATGATAATTACAGTACTAATGCATTGGCTTTAAGTTAATTTAAATATCATTGATCAACTAAAACAACAGTAGCCACAAACATATAGTAATCAGTTAAATAACATGAATCCCTCATCTGTGTGCAGCAGATGCCTGCACTTTCCCTGCCTCCTGATTAACACGCCCCACTGCAATGAATTGGGCAATAAAACTAACAGCCTGTAAAGTCTTCTCCAGCCTGTCATGTCCCACACTGCTGACACAGAACCGGAGTATTTGTTGCAATGCGAGAACAAGATCATATTGAGGTGTGGATGCTGGGTAGGTGGGTGCTAGGGTAGGCAGCAGGAAGAGTATGGCTCACTAGCTAGAGTCGTCTCATGATTGTAGTCTGTTGTGCCACTACTTTGAAAGCTGCAGTTAGCAACCAAAAGAGCAGTGCTCGGTTACATCCTGCACTGCTCTTCTTTTATTCAAGACCCTGTTGGCCAGACCGAATCGTGAATGTTAAATTTGCAGATGTCGAGACCCTGCTATAATAATAAAACATAAGACCACCATATCTCCTGAATCCTACTTCTTAAAGCATTTTAAAAGTTGTACAATAAATATTATTTGCAAAATACACACCCAATATTAAAAGTACTGTTTATTATCTTTATCCATCAAAGCAGCATTAAAAAGAGTATTTCGTATGACTCATGGTGGTGCAGTGGTTAGCATTGCTGCCTTGCAGTGCTGGGCCCATGCTTTCAGTTCCACACCTGGGGGGCTATCTGTGTGGAGTTTGTATGTACTCCCTGTATTTGTGTGATGCTCCTGTTTTCTCCCACAGTCCAAAGAAGGTAAATTGGCTTCTGGGGAAAATTGACTCTGGTGTGTGTTTCTGTGTCTGTGTATGCCCTGTGAATGGACTGGCATCCCCTACAGGGTGTACCCTGCTTTGCACCTGTTGCTTGCTGGGAAAAGCACTGGCTACCCTCTAGTTGCACACATTGATTTTATTGATGATTCATCTAGTAATTGTAAAAGTGTAGTGCTCAGCAATGCCAAATTATTCTCTTGGGCGAAATGTCTGCAAAGACATTGGATTTGCTGTTTTTTTATGCAGTCATCTCTGAGTTTTCATTTTACCTGAGTAACCAATTGGTAGTTTGAAGGCAAATATATCATAATTTGGCTCCAAATTGTATATTGTTAAATAGTCAAGTCAACCGGCTGATTAATCAAGTTAAAGAAACACAGAAACGTTACCTGAGGCTTTGAACAGAAAGGCTTGAATGTTCAGAACAGCAGTGATCGCCAAACACAGCCAAGATACAGCAGGTTTGTGCTATGTTTTCAACACCTTTCCACATGCATCAGGGATCCTCTCACGCTCACTCACACAACCCTTCAGGCAAAATGAGTTTAACTGTGCCATGTAAACCGAACCTGTGCGATACTTCCTTGAGTAATATTTTCATCCAGTTATTTTCTGTCATGCTGTTTGTCCTTTATTTGCATAGAAGACACCAATATCTAGCGTGGCGTACACATAGTTTAATTTGTGGGTATATTCTAAGTACAAAGAATCATAATCTGGGTACAATACAGTAAAACTAATGGATAAAATAATACTGAAGCTATGACATAGTGGAAGGGCTCTACCAGTGCTGTGCAAGTAGACTAAAACAGAAGGAAACTAGAAGATGTGGAAGGAGAAATTTAAACACCCTGTTGATATGTGTTCCATGTATACAGTAGGTGGCATTGGTTAATAACATGGCCTGAGAATTAAAAACCACAGTGCGATGACAGTCGCTTTATCCAATACAGGGTCACAGGGGAGCCGGAGCCTGTCCTGGCAAGCAACAGGCACAAGATAGGGTAGACCTGTGGAACACCAATCAATCACAGGGCACACACAGATACACACACTTACACCAGGACCAGCTTTCACTGGGTGTCTTTGGACCATGCGAGGAACATACAAACTCCATGCAGGCGGCACCCCAGGAATTGAACACAGGGACCCAGTGCCAGGAGGCAGCAATGCTAGTCACTGCGCCACTATGCTGGCCCCCAAAAGCTCATAAAGTGTCTAAACTCGTTCTGGGTGAAAGGCTGAATCCTGATTCCCAGAAGGGCAGCAGTGATTCTGGGTTTAAATCCTGAGGCCAATGTGCTGTGAACTTGAGCAAAGTACTTAACTCAGTTGCTGCAGAAAAATACCCTTCCGTATAAATACTGTAGGTCTCCAGATTGCCACTGTGAGGAAGAATTCACGCTAGTTTGACTCATCTAGTGAAATAAATAAATAATGGCTGATAACTCTCGGCAAGGTACACTTGTTTTAGCCCCCACCTAGAAGTCTTGGGAAAAGTAGGCCTTTGTGGTGTTTACCTTGTTTCTCTCCTCCTCCCAGGCTGCCAGCACCCCGCTGAACCCCCTGAGTTTTCAGTGTGAGTTTGTGAAGCTGCGCATTGACACTCTGCAGGCCCTCTCCCAGCTCATCTGCACCTGCAACAGCCTGAAGACCAGCCCCCCGCCGGCCATTGCCACCACCATCGCCCTCACCTCCGGAAACGAGCTGCAGCGCTGCGGCCGCATCTCCACGCAGGTACTGCGGATCGAGGAGAGGTGCTCCTCTTGCCGGAGCTCAAGGGTTCTTCCTCCTGGGGAAGGCTGGATTTTCATTGTAAATTCAGGAAGGTGAACCGGTGAATGGAAGTCGTGAGGCAAAAAAAAGAGACCATAATTACAGATGCACCGTGTTCTGAAAATCACATTTTTGCGCAGTTTGCTTTTACTGGCCTTCATGTGATCTGTAGAATGTTTCCTTAACAATTTCGGCCATATTTGCATTGATAACACAACTGCTAAGTGGATATTTTTACTGGATATTGATTGTATATATCTTTTATGTGTAATTTAGGGCCTTGTAAATGTGCTTGATGCCTTGTACTCACACAAATTATCTTTTTACAATAAGGCCCTAATAGCATATGCCAGATATATACTCTAAACTGTTTTTCAATATGAGTTTTTAAAATATCTGTATTCATTCTGGGTTACAGTGGCATACACCCATCCACTGCTGAAAATGCAGACCTGCGTTCTTATTCAAAAGTGATGTGCGCAGACTTGAACAACAGCCTGTGAGCAAGCTGCTTGAAATTCACAGCAGTTAAGGGCCTTGTTAATGTTCTTGACAACCAGCAGTGCAGTTTTTTCCAAATCACTCCACAGGAAACACCTTCCGGTCTCTTACTTGGTGAGATAGCAGTGTGATTAAGGTTCTCCATCATTTGTGTTTAATTTTGTTTGTGCTGTGCTTCTAGATGAAAGTGTCCATGGATGAATTCAGAGCCCTGGCCACTCGTTATGCAGATCTGTACCAGTCTTCATTTGATGCTGATTCAGCCACTCTCAGGAATGTGGAGTTGTATCCTTCTTAAACTACAGTACACATAACATATGTCTGAACTGGAGCAATCAGATACAATATGTGGAATTTAGAAGCCTGAATGACTGGTTGATATAAGTAAAACTTGTTTTTTTTTAATCTTTCGGAAACATACGTCTAATTTTTTGTGAAATAATGCACTCATAAGTGAAGTTAATTTTTACTTTTCTTAATGATAATATTAATACTGTGATAGACTGTGAAATTTTTTTTTTCAGGATGGAAACATATTTGAATAGTTTGCCCTTAATCTTTCTCTTAGACAGCAACAGAGCTGCCTGTTAATTTCTCATGTAATTGAGGCTCTTATCCTGGATCCACATACAGGAAGGTGAGGATTTTAAGCCAAGCATTTTAGATATTGTATTATAATACACATATTTTGAGGAGGATATTGTAATACACATTTTTGTTTGCAAGTTGTTTATATATAACATTCCTTTCACTGGCTCAGATCCTGTGTCTTGACACTCTCGGAAACTGAGGACCAGCACACAGAAACATGCAGTTTATTCAGCTTTTATTCAGTAGGATATTTATTTTTTATCACAGGTGAACTAATTTGGATAAATTAGTAACAGTAGCAAACTAAACAGACAACAATAAGAGGGACAGCCGTAATAACAAAGAAATAGAGAAGAACTTGTGTTGCTCTCCAGTTTTCAGGACTATGGAGTCTTAAGCGCGGTGCAGGCGGAGAGTGAATACGAGAGGAAGATGATGTCAGTTTTCAATCGTGTCCTGGAGGAAGTAGAATCACTTGGCAGGAAGTACCCCCCTGTCTCTTACTTGGTGAGAAAAAAGTGTGATTGCAAAGTACAGGCCTCATCAAAAGTAGCATAAGATTTAGTTTCATATACAAAGGCTACCATGTTATAATGTGTAGATCGTAATCCTAAATCTTGGAGTTTGTCTTTAATGTTTTGGCCTTACTCTAAGAGTTGCATAATATATGAATCTCTTTCTTGGTCACACATTTTACTGTTTTGCTATTTTATTTCTAAATATGCTTCAGATCACTTTGTCAAGATATCTCATGAATGTTTGTCTACAACTACAATAGATGTAGCCTAACAAACAAGCCTGCTTATTTTACACATTCCTGTTTCTCCATATCCTGTATATCCTGTTCCTGGTTTTCTTTGGAAGCCAGTTTTGCCAGTGTTTGTGAACAGTGTTTCTGTACAAATGCTGATATTTGCAAAATGTGAAGAATTTATCTATGGAACAAAATTGAGAACAAACTATGAATAAGATTTGAGAAGTCTGACTCTCAGGAATGGTCAGGTTATCATTCATTAAAGTACTGTTGGAAAATCTATTTTTGAATATTATTATATTTGAAATTTTACTAAGGATATGGTGTTCTAACTTTGATTATGTTCAAAAATATATTAGATGTATTGAGTTTGAATATGGTCAGTGGACTCGATATTTTCAAGCAGTTGTTTTGTATCTGGCCCTCGGTGTTGTAAATGTGTAATGATTCTTTGATCTTCTAAGCATTAAAAGGGCCCTGTAGACAATACAGTTTTGACCGGACTATTACAGAGCTGAATAGATAATGATGTGTAGGTCAATGAGCTGTAGATTATGAGTGTATCTTACACGCTATAGGAGAGTGAGAATGCACCCTGTGCTTTCACATTCTTGTATTCTTTCATTCACTCTGTGGTCTCCCTCTCATTTAGCACACAGGTTGTCTCTGTGATGCAGTTATTGCCCTGCTGAAAGTACCGCTTTCCTTTCAAAGGTACTTCTTCCAAAAATTGCAATCCACTAGCATCAAGGTAAGTAAAGTGCACTCTTTATCTGTTTATCTGGTATTGCTGCTGCAGTCATTTCCAGTAGTTCTTGTTTGAATGAAGAAGCACAGGAAGGACTAGAAACTTTGATGTTCCCTGCACTACCCAGTCACTTTTACATGTTAACAATAGCGGTTCTGAAAAGGTGTGAAGAAAGAAACAAAATTCAGTACTTTGGCTAAGCGTGTGCTGTTTCACAGAGTGCACTACAGTTACAGGTCTTTCATCTTCAAGATCGAGAGCAGAGAGGACACCACATCATATGATTTGTTTAGGGCAAACAAAACTAAAAGTTTTGGCAGAGGACTGAGTCACAGGGCGGTTTAGAAAGCTGAGTCATGCACTGCACTCTGAACATGAGCCTTTCCAGTCCACCCGGCACTTAACCTATATGACATTTATTTCATGTGCATGTTGTTCTTTGCGAGTTTACTTTTTCATGAAAAGTCTGGAATGCCCACACAAAGTATTAGAAACATAAGACAGTTGGCTTTGTGCATCTACATGCAGACGTTTGTTTTTTAATATAGTTAAATGTAATACAAAGCTTCTTTGTCATTACAATTCACGTCAAGAGTTTGCAGAAGCTCGAAGGGATGAAATTTCTACACATTGGCAGTCTTTTCTGTACCACAGTGTACTGTGAATGAGGCTGTTAACTTTTCTTGTCTTATCATTATGTTTGCTGATTAAAAGGTAAAGCACTTTAACATGTGACATGTTGATGTTACCAGCTTGCCCTCTCCCCCTCACCCCGGAGCCTGAGTGAGCCAATCACAGTGCAGAACAGCCAGCAGCTGACACTGAAGGTTGAGGGAGTGGTCCAGCACGGCTCCAGCCCTGGTCTCTTCCGCAAGATCCAGTCAGTGTGTCTGAATGTCAGCTCTACCCTACAGAGCAAAACAGGGCAGGACTACAAGGTAATTCATAGCACCATCGTGTCTCTACTCACACTAGACGCAAGAAGCTTTGTAATTACCTTGAGAGCCGGTAGTGGTTCAGCTTCACACTCGCACAGTTTAGCACCATGAGTTGGAAGTCTGTGATAACTTTATCTAAGAATGTATGGCCATGCTTTTTTTCCAATTGAGATTCTGTAAAAAAGCTTACAGGCTCAGTTTTTATTTCCCCCCCTTTTTGCTGTGGCCAATAATGTTTGCATCAGTACATTAAACTTAGAATCGACAGAGAAGATTGTATTATCAGCGTAAAATGTTTGTATTCTTCGTTGTGCTTTCTGTTGTTTCAGCATATGTTCCACTTGGCTTAGCCTGCAGTGTTTCAGAGTGACTTATTCTTAGGATTGGGTGGATACTCTCACAAAAAAAAAACTATTATTTGCAAAGGCTGTGAAGCAGTACCTGCAGTAAAAAAACAAATCAATTGCAAAGACTGTGTAGTTGTATGAGTTCTGTGTTTTGTATTTGTCGTTGTAACTACAAATACAACACACACTACCCTATGCGTTTGGGAGATTTTAGAGAGTTGAAACAATTCCTGCTGAAGCCGTGAGTGGGAAACTCATGACAACTGCTATGAGAACTATGACTTTTTTATTTTGATTTGAAAAAAAAGGCATGTTGGCTCATTTTTGTTCATTTTGCTGTGGAAGGTGGTGATGGTTTCGAAAGTGCCGATGTGTGCTGGAACTTTCTGCAATTGAGAAAATGCCCTTTTAAAGCCTTTTCAAGTACAGGCCTGCAGTTCTGTCCATCAGGGAGAGAAGCTGACAGGGCAGTGGGCAGAGAGCAGTGCACTCTGGCATTGAAGGATCAGGAACATTAAAATACTGATGCAAAGGACGATTATTTTGTTTAGAGTTAATCAAGAATGCATTCTTGAAAGAGAATTACTTTTCAGAATTTGTCTCCAGTTAAATATTCATTTTTAGCAGTTTGGTCTGTAAAGATTGTACATATGATAAATCCACAGCACTTTCCCTGTTATAGACATAGAAAAAAACCTGTTCTATGTTCTTTTTTTTTTGTATGCTCTTTTTGGGAATTCTACACAGCCACCTACAGTATATCAGCATAGGGTCTCAGGTTGCCATTCGGTCATGTAAATGCATTATTAGTAAATTATTAGTAAATTGTAATATTGATCTTGTTAATGTAATATCTGATCCCTTCAATTACTGTATTACTTCTAGAGCAGTGGTGTTGATTCCGCCTGTCTGCGGTTGATTCTTCCAAAATCCGTCTCATTGAAGAGAGCAACTCCTGTTAAGACCCATTCCAAATTGAGCTTTAATTTGGAATGGGTCTCAACGGGATTTTCTCTTTTCAGTGATTGATTATTAAATAACAAGGCACTGATTCTTGATAAGTTTATTGACCAGAAAGTGAATTCAGTGTTTGTACTATAGGTGAATAGGATTACAGAATAGCTATGTTTAAATTTCTCACAACTTTGATCAGGGTGGTGCTTTAGTAGTCATTAATCACTTAGATGCTGGTCTGAATATTGTCAGTGTTCAGAATGTTGCATCTTTTGAATGCCTGTTTTTTTAATACAAAAGGATATTTGGCCTCAGCTGGTAGTTCTAGATTTTGCATCCACCCTAAACCAAACCTACTAGAATTGTACCTGAGTTTTCACAGATACTCAATCTGCAGCATTAAAAAAAAATGTATAACTACCCTGCAGTATTTTGCTTCATGATTTTTGTCAACATACATATGAATTATTTTAACTGGCTACTGCAAATTTCTTATTTTACATTACTCTGGTTTTACTCAACATGTGAAATATAACTTTAGTAATTAGTTCATGATTGTGGTTTAGGCAGTTTCCAACCTACAGTACAAGCATTTGAACTGGGCATTTCTGACTATAATGTTGTCTTACTGGACCTGGCAGCTCCTTTATGTATGGCTAATAGTGTCGTGTTAATAATGGGGTTCAGTAATCACTCCAATTGAATGCAGTTCAGGTGGGTAGCTGCGTCAGCACGCGTAGGCTGCAAAGGAACAACTAATAGGTTTATTCCATGCTGAAAAGAGAAGAAAGAAAACACAATGTTTCAGCCATGGAGCCTTCTTCAGGTGTGAGAAACACACAGGGCAGTAAGCAAAGGTAATGTAGCAGGAGAACAAAAGCTGGGAGAGAGGAGGCGGGGGCAGGGGACAGACAGAGTGGCCAATCAGGTAGTGTGAAGTCAGGATGGGGGAGGGTAGGAGTGAATTGAAACCTACAATGAATAGAGAGAATTTAGAAGTAAATGTGTCTGTCGTTGAGAGAGGGGGAAAGGTGTGATCCTAGCTGCAGGATAATTTTAGTTTCTGTAGTCTTCCTGATGTGGGAGTTAGGAAAACCATCTTTGAGAACACAGCCAGAGAGATTAGTGTGATCATGGCCGTCAGAGGTGAAATGAGAAACAATAGGCTTGGAGAAATCTTTAATCTTCACAGCCCTGACATGTTCTTTGAAGCGGTCTCTGAGTCTCCTTCCTGTTTCTCCAATGTAGATGGCTGTGCATTTACTGCAAGAGATACAGTAAATAAGGTTGCTGGAGGTACACAATGTCATCTAAGTGATCCGGAATTGTCCTGGGGGCCCTTGAATGAGTGTGGTGTTAGATATGTACTTGCAGGTGATACAGCGAGCTCCAATTTAATAATAATGTTTCTTTATTAGCCCTATACAATTTTCTTGCATTAGGAATTCATCTTTTCGCATACCCCAGCTTTTCTCCATGGAGACACAGACACACAGACAGGGAGAGAAGCTTGGGGTCAGAGCGCAGGGTCAGCCATTGTACGGCGCCCCTGGAGCAGTTAGGGTTAAGGGCCTTGCTCAGGGGCCCAATGGAGTAGGATAGCTCTGCCGGCCACAGGATTTGAACCGGCAACCTTCCAGGCAAAGGCGCAGATCCTTAGCAGAGCTACCACTCCGCCGAATTTAATGCTGAGCAGAGATTTTATTAACTTTGTACAACAAATAACCAAAAACAGGTGAGTTCCCAGCAGTGGAGAGGGAGTGTGCCGTTACTTCACAGGTCTGGAGGGAAACAAGAAATGGTGTAGCTCCACCTGCTGTATAAGAGCAAGGTATGGCTCAGTGGCTACTCCACCAGGCAGTTGCTTGTTCTCAGGGGAATGTTCAGGTGACAGCCAGGCTAGAAATATTGACTCTTCCGCCCAGGTCTCTGTTCAGGAAAAAAGCAACAGTTACTTTAGCATACAAACCATGACCTTCTATAGACTGAATCTGGTGAATTCATGTTGTTTTGTGCAGGAGACCACAAAACCTCGCAGTTTGCATGGCTCATTGTGCTTTGCTTGAGGGCTCTGTAGCTCTTTACAGTGACTTCCTAACACGGGTTACTGAAAGCCTAGCTCATATAAACAAGTGTCTCCTTTCTTTTGTGGAGGAAGAGGGGGCTGGCAGTTCATCCACAGGCTTATAAACATCAGAAGGCTTATAGGGAAGCCTTCAAGGCAGCTATATCTTTCTTTCATTGCAGTTGTTCTGAGAGAAAGCCAGTCTTTTTTCTGTCACCACGAAAGTGATCAAATGAGTCGATTATTTCTAATTCTCCTCCCTCTGCTGACTGAACAGTGTAACACATTAATGCAAATGTTAAACAAATAAGTTTGTAATATTAATAACCAGGTACAGACATAATCTCCTCCCTTCATGTCACCTATGTCCACTTAAGCTTTTGAGTTTTGCTTTCTTTCTGCTGTAGCTGGTACTTATGTGACTGGATTGCTATTTAAAATTAGAGTTGTAACTGTGCTTCAGACCTTATTCCTATATGCTAATGCTCATCTATATTCCATTTGTTACTAACCCTATTGTTGGGTTCCTGAAATCTGGTCTGTTATCATCCTATTGCCAGTTTGCATTCTTTCATAAGTCTAGAATGGGCTGTGGTAGTTGAATTAGATTATCATTATGCATCCAATTAGTTATTTTAATCTTTTCAGTTAGTTTGAGTTTTGACAGAGACATTGAGCATCTGTTTACTCTTGTAGTTTCTTGGTTTTGCATCGCAGACTAGGCTTTTCTTTGCTTTATTGATGTGCTTTTACGGTAGTGAAAAATGGGTTATTCTCAAACGCATTGGCATGAACGTTGTTTTACCGGACATTTCTGGAATTTAAGGAGGTAGTGTAACACTCCCATTCTGTCCCTCCACGCCCTCTGCAGATTCCCCTGGATAACATGACCAATGAGATGGAGCAGAGGGTCGAGCCCCATAACGATTACTTCAGCACGCAGTTCTTGCTGAACTTCGCCGTCCTGGGCAACCACACGGTCACGGTGGAGGCATCGGTGGTCGACTGTAACGGCATAGTGTGGAAGACAGGTCCGAAAACCACTCTGGCCATCAAGTCCCTGGAGGACCCCTATTCCCAACAGCTCCGGCATCAGCTGCAGCAGCAGCAGCAGCAACAGCAGCAGCAGCAGTCCATCGCTCAGCCCCCGCCTCAGAGGAGCGTGTACACCCGCTTCCAGTGAAGCCTATGGGCGTAGCTACCAACGTAAGGGACAGGGCTGGAGCAAAGTCTTGCTTCACGACCCCCCAGCAGCATGTCTTTCACAGAACGCTCCTGCAGACCACGTTTTCCCTGCTTTACCTCCTGACCTTTTCTCAAATTATCTCCTGAAAAATGAATTCCTGTGCAGTAAAGCTTCTGTTTCATCCGACGATAACGACCTCCGTAGTGCTTTCCGTTTTTCACACTGTGACGAAGGAGGGGCAAAGCTTGTTGAAGTGCCAGAGTATGCTGTCGTGTATAAGAATGAATAAATGGTGTCTTTTTAATAAAATGGCTCTGGCCAACGCAGGTGGTGTTGTAGTTTATTTACCCCACCCTCAGTTTGCTGCTGAACAATGTTTGGTAAGTTGAGCAGAATTGTCTGTTTATTTTTCTACCTTTATTGTAATGGGAAACCCACACTTAAGGGGTTTAAAGCTTCAGAATTGTTTTTGTTTTTTTTATTTCAGCTTCATGGTACACACAGTGGTGTTTTCCATTCTAGACAATGAAATTAATGTGATGTACAGCTAGCTAGATGATAAGGTTATACAATTTGTGAAAAAATTGATTTGGGGGCAATAAGATGTATTTTAACATAGGATTGTGTCTGGTTGTTCATGTTACAGAAAAATCTGATATTTGTTCCTTTTTCTTTTTAAAAACCCAGTAAGTCTTTTCAGTTTAAACTGTTTCAGTTGTTACATGACGATAATTAGGGCCAATGAAAATGTTCTAACAGGAGGTGCAGGAGTTTAATTCTCTGTCACTTGAGCAAAACTCCACCATATCACATACTCAAATTCTTTAACCTTTCTCTGGCATTAACAATTATGTCCTTATTATGGAACTTCATATACAGTTTACTATGTTGCCATTTTTTTTCACTGAGGAACTTTTATTTAGCTCAATTCCTGTTGAGCTCTGTCCTCTGTCCTTTGTCCTTTTATGGTACGTACTATATAGAACCATTTTTGTTGTTATTTCGAAAGTACCCAGCAGCAGAAAGTGGCAACGTGACTAGGTTTACTTATATAAGGAGTTTGGGGCACACAAGGTATTTTTTCATAGCCTCAATTCATTTTTAATCTTGATATTCTGGGGGGGATGCAAATTGATTTTTTAAGTAAATGTATTTAGAACAGTAAATAACAGTATTGTTATAAGTATTCGGGCATTTAAATTATTACAGACTGGAAGAATTATTTTCCCATGAAGAATTCTAAATGTGTAAATAACAAGAAGACCTCACTAGGGAATAAGCAATTAGATTAATGTTCTACATTTTTAGGAACTGATTTTATACAAGCCTCGTTTCAAACTGAATTCAGCTAAAGTAATAATTATTTTAGCTGAAAATCTTCCCTTCCAAATACATTTTTAATCTTTTTTTATTCTTTTATTTCTTGAGTAATAATCTCCACGTCCTACATGTTAAGTAAGAAAAAAATTATTTGAATGCCACTATTTTCTATGCTTTTTACAATTTTCTATTTTTAATTTAAGCCAGGGAACCGTTCATTTTTAAATTGTTCATTTTTACTGCGTGGTCAGTATTAAGCCTTTTTCAGAAATGTTTTTACTTTCAAAAGGAAGTGACCCAGCTGAGCAAATAGCTCAACATTTCTTGCTAAGGTCAAACTGCCCTCCCTGTTATGACTTTGATATCAGATGATTCGCAGCACGTAGACACAGAATTGCAAATTGTCATTCTGGTAGTGCCTGTCCTTTACTCACTCTCCTTGTGTAATCAGTAAGCATTAAGCACTGCAGAACTGTATTGGAACAAGCTTCATTATTCCACAGGAATTCTTTTCATGTGTCATTACAGCCGCAGCTGTAAGACAAAAGGCAATAGCCAGGAGTGTGCTCCGAATCCAGATCAGACCATCTCTTAACTGATGGAAGTCTAAAATTAGACGAGTTCCAACAGGTATGTAAGGTTTCAGTGGCAGACATTTTGGAAATTTATAATGTGTGCTGAGTTACATTTATTTTTTTTATTTTAAGGAAAGGTCCCTATTGATTAGTTCCTTGTACATAAGAGAGGGGTCCCCTCTCAGGCTGGTATCTAGGTTTAGGGGACTGTTAGGGTTTGTGCAGGCAGTCCTTCGCCTAATTTGTTAAGGTAACAGTGAGAACCACACTTGGGTTCAATGGGCATATTAGAAATTTCTAGAATCCTCCCATCTCCAGGGAATGACCATCATGCGGTAGGCTTTATAAAGCACCAGCAGAAAAGTGTGTGAATGTCCAACTCTAAGGGGCAGGAGTGAAGCAAAATGTTCCCGTTATCTAAAACGGAAGGGAGCTGAAATTTCATATTAATGGAGCTGACATTCTTTTTGTGAATCCACCAGGCAGAGGTTGTCTTGTTCAAACGCAACATATTTTTGTCAGGTCAGGAAGGTGGGTCCTTGTTCTGCATCAGTGCAGAGGGCAGGCCTATTTGTAGAGACTTGTTTATGAAAACGGCCTTGTTCATTGCTGTAAGGTTTTGAATGCTTTGAAGTGATCAAGGTTAGGATCTAGTAAAAAAAAGTTAGATGGTACAGTTTGGGGTCGGGGAATTCTCTCCTGTGCTAAATTATCAGAAACACTAGCAATTTTGTGTGTATTTCTTTTCTTTTGGATGATTGAAGGATTGAGGATTGTCTAATAAATATATGTGTCCCAAGCAATTGCCTGGTAGTTTATTTCTTTACAAACAAATTATTTATGGAAGATAAAAGATGCCAAATTACCTCAGCTGGTTTCCCTAATCTGTGTTGTTATTTTAGTTTTAATAATTGCTTTATTCAAGCTGGTGTTGGAACCTGAATTTTAATTTAACCTTACTTTTCAGCCTCCGTTTGCTCCAATATCTGGATAATAATTCCTTGAATTTATATAATTCCTTTCACCTTGAAGGATTTAGATAGTAGGTGGGTACTACAGTACCTTCAGCTACCAGTGAAGTGTAGCACCAACTGGGCAAGCAGCCATTTTGTGATAAACAGCCCCAGTACAAAGCAGTCTTGGCTTTTACTACTTGCTTTCAAAGTCTGCCATGGCTTGAACACATTTGAAGCATTATACCAAGAGGTATGCTTAATTTCTATAAGAGTTTGTAAATTGATGTTTCCTGTCTTAGACTGTAACCCTACTGTCAAACCAATGCATTTCAAATATAATTTGAAAGCCTTCGAGCAGTTTTTGTTTGTAATGAGGTGAACACTTGATGTATATAACAATGTTGTTTTCAAATAAATTCAGAAATGAAGAGCCTATTGCTTCATGGGCTTTTGCAATTCGATAGATATGTCAACACCAGTGAGCTCTCTATTCAATTCAATTTATAATTAGGGATACATGTTTCTGTTCTGCTAATGCTACCAATTTATTCCCCTCTTATTTGTGTCTACATAATGCATTAGGCTGCTATACTAGAGATAGCAGCAGAATCTGCCCTAAGCTAAACCTTTACACAAGAGTGGATCAGAAAACTCACTTTTTACAAATTGCTTTTTCACAGCTTTTAACAAAATAATAATTTATGAACACAAGTTTTGCATCATACTTCATTAGTCATGTTTCCTAAGCCTTTTCTTGTCATTACTTTTTCAGGAGTGGTAAGACTAGTTTATTTCAGATATGCTGGCCTCCTGTACAGTATGTCTGTAGGCCTTTATGGTAAGTTCTCTATGCTGATCCTGGCTGAGCTCTTTTCTTCTTACAGTAAAGAAAGATTCCCAGGCCTAACGGATGTCTGTCTACTAGCAATACAGACAGACAAGCACTCAATCTGAATACCTAGAAGTGCTCAGTGATACAGTAGTAGAGTTATTGAAAAAAAATGTAACACCTGGTTTAGCTTTTCAATCTGTACCTGTCTGGCACACTGTCTGATGTAGACGAGCATTTAGGCATTGAAGACTGCGTCTTTGAAAGGTTGTTTTGGTTATGACCTATCAGCACTCACAATCTAGTTCATTAACATTGTAAACATTAATGTACATGTCTAGTTCATTAACATGTAGTTTAGCATTTAAGCTGACAGACTCTTACTGTACTGAAATATATACTATATATATGTTGCAGGTGGTCTTGACAAACACACCTTTTACTCCCAGGTCTTCAATGTTCTGAATTCTTTAAGCCAATTCATTTCCTATTCATTTTAACTAATGTATTTCTTTTCTGCATCAGTCCATTGCATCATCTTAATTGACATTTGGAGTACCTGCTGTAGTCCAGCAGCTCCATATTTCAATTATTCAGTATGAAGGGCTGATCAACAGTGAGCTGCCTCCACCATTACTATCACCACTACTCATTTCCATCAAATTTATAGGTTGTTCGAATATTGTTAAATCACTGAAAGTCAAGGTGTGAGCTTTGAACGAACCAGGAATTAATGCAGACATTTTGAAAGTGAGCAATTCTTTTCATCCATTTTCAGCAAAAGAATTGGAAGATGGTGTGAAACTCATATTGAATAAAGAGCTCATGGGGGTTCCTTAATTTTCATTGTTACTTTTTTAAATTGTGTGCAATTCCATTCAAATTTTACGATATCTGTTTTATGTTATAAGAATTATGATCATTAATTTAGATGTACATCTTTAATTATGTGAGACTTTGAAGAACATCAGGTGAGGCTGCATCTGAGTGCTTATAATTAGAAGAATTGGTAAGGTAGAGCAATATTTTTCCTTCGGGGCAAATACTGGAAATGTTTGGAGTAGTACAAATAGTTACAGTACATTGGGATACTAGTTTGATAGGGATACTAGATACTAAATTGATTTGTCTACTTATATTGCTAATGAGGCTCAAACTATTTGTTGTTGTTTTTTTACTTTCCATTATATTTCATTTGAAATTGAATTGGACAATCTAGGTGCCTATTCTGAGAAGCTACAGGAAGTTCCTCTTAACAAAATAAACAATTCCTCTGGTACCCTCTCAGTTGAAAATGGGACACAGACATGCTCCTTGGACAGGCCTGCCTTTCTTCTTGGCCTGTTTGTCATTTGACACACTGTAAGCAACATGGCGCCTTACAGGAAAGCTTGCACTAATTGGAGGAGTGGCGTATCTCTGCCTGACACTCTGGTTCACTACAAGCCTGGAAATTTCTGTTGTTGCCTGTCAAGATGCAGGAGTGCCTTTTTTGCTGAAAGCTGATTAATGTGCTCTAGTAGACTAACACTGTTCGACTGGTGCTCTTGTTGACTGTTCACCACTGCTTGGGGAATCCCTGTGATAGCCCATGACACCGAGTGAGCACCTTTACTGCTTAAATCACTTGGAAATTTCTGTTGGTT